TCGACCTCCATCGATGGTCAAGAATCAGGGACGCTGTCTCATTTGCCAAGACATCAAAAATCAGATGGGCTGGACACGTAATGAGATTTGGAGACAACCGCTGGACTAGAGCCATTACCGATTGGATTCCACGGGACGTCAAAAGACCACGTTGCCACCCACCTACCAGATGGTCAGACTTCTTCGTCAAGACCCTGAACGACCGGTTTGAGGCTCTACGTGTTCCTAGAATGAACAGACGCCATTGGGCTACACTAGCACGCGACAGGGACAAATGGAGACGTCACTGGTGCCCGCTCAAGCAAATCGATGATTAACGGGAAGTCAAGTGATCAAGTGATCTGTTTGGTCCTCTGATCAATGCCAAGAGTAATTCCTGAGTGCAGAGCCAGGAGTAACTCCTGAGCATCTCAGTATGTGACCCAAACAAAAACAAAAACAAATAAACTGGCTGTGGGTGGAAGTCCCCTGTTCAGTGTCAGTTCAGGGCCAGAATCTAGTATCAGCTCTTGTTCCACAGGGTGCCCATTTGCTCTAAGCATTAATCCTACTAATGGTAACCATGTGAAGTGGATGTAATTATTAACATATCTGTGACAACTGTGTTGCAATTTGTGTTAACTAAACATTCATATATGAGCCACCAGTGTATGCACAGGCATCAACATGTCCCATTTTGCAGATGAAGAAACAGATGAAGAAACTGAAGGGGAATTAAACTTCCCCAAAGTCACTTTTAGCTCCCAAGGGAGTAGAACCAAGACTATCTGACTCCACTCTTTGCCTACCTTTTTGGGGACAGGGAGACAGGAATCTGGGTCTAAAGTCTTTTTTTTTCCTTTCAACACTCTGTTGATGAATCTTTGAGATGAATGCACTTAATTTTATTATTATTATTATTATTTGGCTGGTTGGGTGACATTGGTCATGTTCAGGGATCTGCACTCAGGAATCAGTCCTTGCGGTGCTCAGGTTGGGACCATATGTGATGTCAGGGATTGAACCCAAGTCGGCCATGTGCAAGTCAACTTCCCTCCCCACTGTTCTATCGCTCCAGCCCCACTGAGTCTCTATTCTTTTTGGATCACACCTGGAGATGTACAGGGGTTACTTCAGACTCTGCACTCAGGAATCACTCCTGGAAGTGCTCAGGGGGACCATATGGGATGCTGGGAATCGAACCCGGGTCAGCCACGTGCAAGGCAAACGTCCTACCCACTGGGCTATCGCTCCAGCCCCAGAGTCTCTATCCTTGTCTCCTCTTCCTTTTACACTCCTCAATGTCTCTCTTACTAGTGTTCCTTTCTTCCCTGCCAAGACTCTCCCAGCCTGTGTCCAAGTGGGGGTAAGGGTTAAGGGAGTGCTGCTGACCTCTCTGGGTCCCCAGCAGATTTGCTGTCAGGCCCATTGCTCCAGGCTAGTCCCCGCAGGCCCGAAACTCTTTGCCTATGTGAAGCTCAAAGTCAGAATCTCCTGACAGCATCCAGTTGCAAAGGTCAGGAAAGTCTTACAAGAGTAAGATGGGAGACAAGGACGTGTCTCAATGACAAACCACATGTTTTGTGCGCATGAGACCTGGGTTTGATCCCGAGCACTGCTAATAGCTAATGAGAGAATGAGAGATGCCAAATCAGATTAGGATTTGGGAGGGGCTATTGGAGTCAGCAGTAAGAAACGTGATGAGCTGGGAGCACTGAAGCTTCCAGAGGGAGGACAGAGATGACTACACGGCATACTTACAGGCCCTACTGAATACCATGTAAATACTTATTCCTTTACTTTTCACACCTTTGTGTGACAGGGTTTAGCAGTCCTACATCCCACCTGGAAATTAAGCACAGAGGATGATTGACTGGTCCAAGGTCATAGGCAGCAGCTTTCGGGCTTGGGACTCGGGTAAGTGGCTTGGAAAATATCCAACCAAGGAGACCGTTTTCAGCTGTGAGGGAGGGAGAGGGGCATGGGGTTAAATCCATGGGCTTGGACCAAAGAGAAGGAAGCAAGAGCTCAAGGAGATAAAGCAGGTGGGGCAGATGATTTATGGGTGCAGAGTGGTTCCCACTCCTGGACCATAAACCACAAGAACAGGTTGCAGCTTGGAGGGGAAACAGGTGACTCAAAGGAGGGGCTGGGCAGGCCTGGGGACCATCCCTTCCTGGGATAGAGGCTTCAGGTCTGGGACCTTCCTTCCTGGCCCTGTGGGAAATTCACAGCCGAGGTATATAGTCAGTGTGTGGGTACCAGGCCGAAGTGTGAGGGCCACAGATGGGTCCGTGTGGAGGACTGAAGGGCATTACCTCAAGGACAGCTGTTGGGGTCCCAAGGCCCCAAGTGTAGAGGCTATGACAACTGCCTTGGAAGCACCTGGATTCAAGTTTAAATCTCCCAAGTACAACATTCACCAAGTGTGATCCAGATGGCTGAAACTGTTTGTACCAGGCACGTCTTCTCTCTGATACTGAATGTGATTTTCAGCATCTGTGTGTGTGTGTATGTGTGTGTGTGATGTGTGTACCACAAAAGGTATTGTGATACTCAGCATCACACTTGTGGGCCTTGAATAAAAGTCTGAGTCCTGGTGAGCATGTGTGCAAGGATAGCAAACTTGGTGGGCATCCAGCAGAGGGGATGAGCACTGCAGCATGTAGGCTGCCCTAGTGAGCATCGTAGCCAAGTGTGTGCACCCCATTCCCGACTCCCCTTTCATCAGCATCATCAACAAGCAAGGGAGGGAGGAAAGTTTTTAAAACAGAGATGATCAGAAGGGCTGGAGCGACAGTATATCAGGTAGAGCGTTCACCTTGCACGTGGCCGACCTGAGTTCAATCTCCAGCATCCCATATGATCCTCTGAGCCCAGCTAGGAGTAATACCTAAGCAGTGTCAGGTATAGCCCCCCGCCAAACAAAATACTAGGGCCCAGAGGTAGAAATAGCCCCTTAAGATCCTAGTAGTCAGGTACTTGACACAGGCTGAAGGGGTCCTGCTGGGGCTGGAGCAATAGCAGAGCGGGTTGGGCATTTGCCTTGCATGCAGCCGACCTGGGTTCAATTCCCAGCATTCCATATGGTCCCCTGAGCACCACCAGGAGTAATTCCTGAATGCAGAGTCAGGAGAAACCCTGTGCATTGCCAGGTGTGCCCAGCCTAGCACAAACAGCTTCTGTTTTTTGTTTCTTTGTTTTGGGGTCACAACCAGCAGTGTTCAGGGCTTACTTCTGGCTCTGCTCTCAGGGATCACTCCTGCTGGTACTTGGGGGACGAGATGGGGTGTTGGTATTGGGAATCGAACCCAGGTCAGTCATGTGAAAGGCAAGTGTCCTACTCACTGTACTATCACTCTGGCCCAGAGTCCCCAGCTGTGTGCCCTCACCAACCCTGCACTGCCTGGCATTTGTGTGTCCAGGACACAAGCCCCCGTGCAGGCCAATTCTATCTGGCTTTGAGTCCTGCCTCCATGGTCCTGGTCATGACATAGGGCATGTCTCCTGGGAGCCTCATCTGTGCCATGATGAGGACAAGGTCCCTGGGGAGATGCCTGGGTGGTGCCGCTGTCACAGCGCCTGTCGCTCAGCCAGAGCTCTACACTCAGTGTTACGGGCACAATTCATCACACACCTGCCTCCTCAGCGGGAGCGTGGGACACTGATCCCTGTCAGCCAGGCGTCAAGGTCACAGTGTCATCTGTGTGAGCTGTGGGCTCAGTGCAGGTGCACTTCAGCTGTTCAAAGGCCAGCCCAGCCCTGCAGGCGTCAGGGAGACCAAGCCAGTTCCCAGGCCTGAGCTGAGCTGGATGACAGGCTCAATCCATCAATGACAGCCTCAGTGCAGCCAGACTTTATGGGCCCGGGAGGTACTTAAGTGTGTGTGGAGGAAGGTGAGCCCAGTTCTCTTTAGCACAAGCTTCTGCCCAAAACAGGTAAGCAGGTGCGGGGGTGCAGGGTAGGAGGAGGCCCTGGGCTCAGGAGACCAGCTCTTGGCCTCAACCATCACCCCAAGGATACTGGAGGGTCTGGGACTTCTTTTTTTTTTTTCTTTTTGGGTCACATCCAGCGACTCACTGGGGTTACTCCTGGCTCTGCACTCAGGAGTCACCCCCTGGCGGTGCTCAGGGGACCCTATGGGATGCTGGGAATCGAACCTGGGTCTGGCGCATGCAAGGCAAATGCCCTACCTGCTGTGCTATCTCTCCAGCCCCGGTCTGGGACTTTTTTATTTGTTTATTTGTTTGGGCTTTCTGGTCACACCCAGAGATGCTCAGGGATTACTCCTGGCAGTGCTTGGGGGACCATATGGGATGCTGGGGATCGAACCCAGGCTGGCTTTGTGTTAGGCAAATGCCCTGCGCTCCATCCTACCACTCTAGCCCCTGGAGGTATTAGTTTGAGCTGGCGCTCCTGTCCTCAGCTCTCCCATGAAATCTTCTCTTTCAGCCCTACATGAAGAGGCATTTAAGGGAATTCATAAGGGGCCCTTTGGTAGGGAGGGGCAGTGCTCAGGTGTCACTCCTGGCAGTGCTAGAGGGACCCTGTGATACTGGGGTTCCCTCATGTAAAGCATATGCTCCAGCCCTTTAAGGCATCTCCCCAGGACCCACAAGAGAGGACCTAGATCCCAGCTCCCGGGCACCCTTTTGGCTTGACCCACTGAGTTCTGGCAGGGTGGGAGTGCGCTGTGTCTATTCTGTGGCTTCCTCCCACCTTCACGATCACGACCATCCTGTTGTTCGTCGAGTGCCTCGAGCAGGCACCAGGAACGTCTCCTTCGTCCTAGTCCTGAGATTCTAAAAAGTGCCACATTCAAGGCTCTCTCAAGGCTAGGAGAATGAGACCCATCATTGTTACTGGTATTTGGCAAATTGGGTTCGCCACTGCTGATGTGTGGGGGTGGGAGAGGCGGGAAGGTGGCCAAGAACTAATCTCAGCGATGAGGCCAGAGGAGGGGGAGGCTTGTCGGAGGAGAGGGACAGCTCGGTGACCTCTCGCTCCTGACCCCCAGAGCCATGACAGTCTCCTACACCCTCAAAGTGGCAGAGGCCCGCTTCGGGGGCTTCTCAGGGCTGCTCCTGCGGTGGCGGGGAAGCATCTACAAGCTCCTCTACAAGGAGTTCCTGCTCTTCATTGCCCTGTATGCGCTGCTCAGCGTCACCTACCGGTGAGAGGCTGCTTTGGGGATGGGGTGGGCTTGGGGGGGGGTGCAGGCTGCCCTTCCCACTCTCATCAGGCCTGGCCCTTCCTCCCCAGGCTGCTGCTGACGCAGGAGCAGAGGCAAGTGTACGCGCAAGTGGCCCGGTACTGCAACCGCTCTGCCGACCTCATCCCCTTGTCCTTCGTGCTGGGTGAGGGGCCCCTCTGCTTCTCCCAGGCTTTCTCCTGGCCAGCCCCCTGACCTCTGGATGAGGTGGGAGATCCCGAGGCGGGGGTGGGGCGTGGGGTGGGGGGGTAGGGGCACTGACCCAGAAGCACAGGCTGGAGGTGACCAGGCCCAGGCCCACCCGCCTGGGCCCAAGATTTCTAGAAAGCTGGACCTCCACTCGAAACAGGGACCAGACACTTGTCACTAGGGAGTTGGAGAGATGCCATCGCCCCATCCCAGCCCCAGAGTTAACCATTACCAGGCCTTGAGCCATCACCCTTTCTCCACTTCTCCTTTCTCTTGCCCTGGCCCGGCATTGGGCGGCTGGAAGAAGCTGTCACTGCCTGCCCAGTGGACCCTGGCTGGACTCAGCCCGGGCGCTTTGCCGGGAGGTGGGGTGGGGAGAACCAGGCCAAGCAGATTCCGAGCTCCCCCGTTTCCCCTTCTTCTGCATCCCTCGGGGGCGATCAGGGTTCTACGTGACGCTGGTGGTGAACCGCTGGTGGGCCCAGTACACAAGCATCCCGCTTCCGGACCAGCTGATGTGCGTCATCTCGGCCAGCGTGCACGGGGTGGACCAGCGCGGCCGCCTCCTGCGCCGCACCCTCATCCGCTACGCCAACCTGGCCTCGGTGCTGGTGCTGCGCTCGGTCAGCACCCGCGTGCTCAAGCGCTTCCCCACCATGGAGCACGTGGTGGACGCAGGTGCGCTGGGGGGCGGGGCGGGGCCACTGGGTGAGGTGCTACCCCCCCACCCCACCCCGAGGTGGGTACCAGAGAGGCGGGCTTCCCGGTCTGGCCCCCAGGAGGCGCTCTCGGGTCACAGGGCTGCGAGTGGCGCTCCCTCTCCTCCCCACAGGTTTCATGTCCCAGGAGGAGAGGAAAAAGTTTGAGAGCCTGAACTCGGACTTCAATAAGTACTGGGTGCCCTGTGTCTGGTTCACTAACCTGGCGGCCCAGGCCAGGCGGGACGGGCGCATCCGGGATGATATTGCGCTCAATCTGCTCCTGGAAGTGAGTGGACTCAGGATCAGGCCTGTCTGCCCCCGTCTCCCTTGCTTTGCCCACTGGGACCATCATTTGTGAACCCAGCACACATAAGGTGCTCTGTAGAGACCCGGTTGGAAATACCATACCTGCCTTGCCTCATCAACAGCTACCTTCTTGGGTTGTTTTGTGTCACACCTGGTGGTGCTCAGGGGTTATTCCTGCTCTGCACTCAGGGATTACTCCTGGTGGGTAAGGGGACCATCTGGGGTGACTGGGGAATCTAATCCAGGTCACCCATGTGTAAGGCAAAAGCGCTCTCTGATGTATTATCACTCTGTTCCAACAAGCTGCCTTTAAAATTTTTTTAAATTAACTACTGTTTTAGGAATGAGATAATAAGATTTATTACTATTATTATCTCATTCCTACTTTGGACAAACTGGCAAGCTACCGAATGTAACATGCCCATACGGCAGAGTCTGGCAAACTCCCCGTGGCATGCCCAATATGCCAAATACCAGTAACAATGATGGATGGGTCTCATTCTCCTAACTCTGAAAGAGCCTTGAATGTGGCACTTTTTAAAAAAATCTCAGGGCTAGGACTCAGGAGACGTTACTGGGGCCTGCTCGAGGCAACCAACGAATAACAGGATGGTCGTGATCGTGATCGTGAACTACTGTTTTATGCTTTGTGGGTCACGCCAGTGATGCTTAAGGTTACTCCTGGCTCTGAACTCAGGAATTGCTCCTGACGGTGCTTGGGGGACCATATGGGATGCCAAGGATTGAACCTTGGTCAGCTGCATGCAAGGCAAACGCCTTGCCCGCTGTACTTTCGCTCTGCCCCCAACACAGCTGCTACCTCGAGCCATTTTCTGTTATCGTTCTCCCCCACAGAGCAGGAAACAGACACTGGGAAAAGAAATGTGCCCATGCCCCTTGTTGGCTCCCCGTTCTTCCTTCCTCACCTCCATCGATTTCCTCCTTTGCCCCCCAGGAGCTGAACAAGTACCGGGCCAAGTGCAGCATGCTGTTCCACTATGACTGGATCAGCATCCCCCTCGTCTACACCCAAGTATGCACCCCGTCTCCCATTCCTGTCCCCTGCATGTCTGTCAGCTTGTGGGTTAGAGGTGGGGCCTGCCCGGCTGGTTCCATCCAGTGAGGTTCTTGGATCCCTCCCCTCTGGGCCAGCATCCCAGGCTGCATATTTTCATGACTAGCAAGACCCCTACTGTCTATCAGAAGAGGAGACACCCCCTCTCCTGTCCCACTCAGCTCAGCGTCCCCTGCTCCAGGTGGTGACCATAGCCGTGTATTCCTTCTTCGCCCTGTCCCTGGTGGGCCGCCAGTTTGTGGAGCCAGAAGCAGGGGCTGCCAAAGCCAAGGAGCTTCTTCCGGGCCAGGATCCTGCGTCCCAGCTGGGGGACCTGGACATGTATGTGCCACTCACCACCCTGCTGCAGTTTTTCTTCTACGCTGGCTGGCTCAAGGTGGGCACTGCAGATGGGCATGTCACCTTGACGCTGGGCACAGAGAGGGATTGGAGCTGGGAGCTCAGCAAACTGTCTGACAACCCGCAGGTAGCGGAACAGATCATCAACCCTTTCGGTGAGGATGATGATGACTTTGAGACAAACCAGCTCATTGACCGAAACCTGCAGGTGAGCGGGGGGGTCTGAGGTGCTCCCCATTGGCTCTCAAACCCGGGGCTGGAGGGGGCTGGAGCAATAGCACAGCGGGTAGGGCGTTTGCCTTGCACGCGGCCGACCCGGGTTCGGTTCCCAGCATCCCATATGGTCCCCCGAGCACCGCCAGGAGTGATTCCTGAGTGCAAGAGCCAGGAGTGACCCCTGAGCATCACCGGGTGTGACCCAAAAGGCAAAAATTAAATAAATAAAATCAAACCCGGGTCTGGAGAGGACGGTGGTGACCGTCTCCCCGGCCCAGGTGTCCCTGCTCTCCGTGGACGACATGTATCAGAACCTGCCTCCTGCCGAGAAGGACCAGTACTGGGACGAGGGCGCAGCGGTGCCGCCCTACACGGTGGCCACGGTGGCGGAGTCCCTGCGTCCTTCCTTCTTGGGCTCCACCTTCAACCTGCGGTGAGCGGCGGGTCCCGGGGGCGCCCCGCGCGCGGTCATCGCGGGGGTCGTCGCGGGGGTGGCGGCCCTGACCCAGCCCACCCGCCTCCCCGCAGCATGAGCGACGACCCAGAGCAGAGCCTGCAGGTGGAGGCGCCGTCCCCGGGCCCTGCCCGCGCGGCCCAGACCCCGCTGCTCGGCCGCTTCCTGGGCGCCGTCGCGCCCTCCCCCGCGGTCAGTCTCCGCAACTTCGGCCGCGCGCGCGGGGCCCCGCGGACGCCCCACGTGCCGCGCATCCGCATCGATGAGGCCGCCGACCCCGAGGCCGCCGCTGACCGCATCGAAGAGGAGTCGGCGGAGTCCGAGGAGGCGGCCCGGGGAGAGCCCTGAGCGGGGAGGAACAGGGCTGGGGCGGTGACCACCCGGCTGGGGCTGCCCCGGAGCGGACGCTTTAGGGCCCCGGCCGGCGGACACTGCTTTGGGCTCTGCTCTGCTGCTCCGGGCTCCCGGTGCTGCACCAGCTCCCCGGCTTGGACTCAGTCGAGGGCAGCGTAAAATCAGTGCCAGCACTCTTTATTTCCCAGGGTCTCCGATTTTTTTTGATTTGGGCGGGGCGGGAGCCCAAGATTTTGCATTCGTGGCAAGTTCCCCAGGGCTGCTGTTGGTCAGGGTACCACTGAGTCATCCACAGAGCAATGCTTGCAGGATGACCTTATGAAGAGGGAGTATTGTGTGCTGAGGCCTTGCACTGTGTCCCGACTGCTCAGTTTGGTGGTGATGAGAGTATATTCATCTGCAGTACACTTGCGTTGTTTAAAGTTGAATTAAGACCTGGAGAGCTCAAAGGACTGGGGTGCTTTTTGTTTTTTTTTAAAGACGTTTTATCGGATCACTGTGAGATGCAGTTACAAAGTTGCATGATTGTGTTTCAAACTATGCTCCGAGCACCTATCCCTCCACCAGTGTACATTTCCCACCACCATTGTTCCCAGTGTTCCACCCTACCCCACGCCCTGCCTCTGTGGCAGGTACAATCTCTCTTACTCGCTCAAATTTTGGGCATCATGATTTGCAATACAGATACTAAGAGGTCATTGTGGTACTAGAGTGTTTTACATGCACAGGACCCAGAGTGTTTGGTCCCCGGGACTGTTTTCTTCCTCCAGGACCACCAACAATAACCCCCTCCCCCAGCACCGCCAGGTGCAACCCCACCAGTGAGAAGTGTTAAAAAAATTGAGTGAAGCAAGGTACTTTTTAGTGAGACTTATTTAGAAAGCTGTGAAGGGAGAGGAAGATATGGAGATGTATTTAAGACGTATTTAAGATAGAAAACTGGCTTTAAGATATATTTAAGATAGAAAACTGGCTTCTCCAGAGTGGAAAAATCTAGCAAACATCCATAGAAACAAGCAAGATATGTGTTCGAGGGAGAACATCGGATTGAAGAGCAAGCCTATTTAAAACATTTTCAAGTTGAATTGACATGCTGCTGTACAATGGGAGGATGGTTTGGGAGTCTGCCCTAAAGGTCAACGTGCAAGTTAGATGTGGAAGGTAATGACCGACCCCAGCGTAGACCCCTCTGGTTGGTTTTGGAAGGCTAATACCTGGGCTGGAAAGTACCAGGATTAAGGGGTGTCCTTTATATCCTACATGATTCCCTTGTGGACCGCTAGGGGTCGCTTCTGAGCAGAACGATAAACATCTCCTAAATTAAGGTCAGGTGGGGTCAAAAGACCCAGTCTTCCTAAAATTAAATTCCAAGCCTTTTCCCGCTCCTGCTGACGAGGGAATGAAGGCGTTAAAGGCAATGGTTTTCAAATGCTGTGCAGGTGCAAATTGGCTGAAAACCACTTGAGGGCCTGCAGCGTTGAAGGAAAAAGTAGCCGGGACTGTTAGATTGGGGTCGTTGCTAAGGGGGGCTTGAGGCCTAACTGAATGCCGAAACTAATCTTTAAAGACTGAGGGTGGGGCTGAAACTATAGTACAGGGGATAGGGTGTTTGTCTTGCATATAACTGACCCGGGTTTGATCCCTGGCATCCCATATAGTCCCCTGAGCACCACCAGGTGTCATTTCTGAGTGCAGAGCCAGGAGTGCAGACCCTGAGCATCACCAGGAATGACCCAAAAAGCCAAATAAATAAATAAACAAAAACCAAAACCCAATCAAAAAGCCCGAGGGTAACAAAATTCAGAACTTCAGGGCCGCACTTGAGTAGCGGTTGAGGGCAAACTCTTGCCTTAGTGACTAAAATGGTTTCAATGCTGGCTTTGCCTTTCTTACTGGGTGACCGTAGAATGCGGAACATTTTTCTATGCCTGGATTGGAGACAATCTAGAACAGGACAGCCATTCATTCTGAAGGCGTTAGAGGGTTTTTGGTGAGTGCTCTGGGGAAGATAGTGGTCCATGGCAGATAGTGGAGATCAATCGACTCTAAATTGAGCTAAGATAATGCTGTTCAGTGGTAAAGCACTAGCTTTTCATGTACGAGGTTTTGTAGTAATTCCCTGCACTGAAAAAAAATTTCCTCACCTTACTAAAACAAGAAAAACCAAATAAACATGTTTATTATTGATGGATTAGAGGTGAAGGCCAGGGAAGAATGAAGATCGGTGCCTTGTAGAGTTCAAACCAGAAAGAAAAGGAGCAACAGTACAGCAGGTAGGGTGTTTGCCTTGCATGAGTCACACCTGGGTTGACCCCTGGCATCCCATATGGCTCCCTCTAGCCCACCATGAGTAGCCTAAAGTAGCATTGCTGGCCCCAAAACAAAAAATAGTAAAGGCACATGGTAGATAATGCCTAGATAAGGCAGAGGTCAATTTACTCCAATGGGGGCTGGAGCGATAGCACAGCGGTAGGGCGTTTGCCTTGCACGCAGCCAACAAGGCCGACCCGAGTTCGATTCCTCCGCCCCTCTCGGACAGCCCGGCAAGCTACCAAGAGTATCTCGCCCCCACGCCAGAGCCTGGCAAGCTCCCCGTGACGTATTCGATATGCCAAACACAGTAACAACAAAGTCTCCAATGGAGACGTTACTCCAATCAGTATATTTTTATTTTTTTACTTTTTGGGTCACACCCGGCCATGCACAGAAGTTACTCCTGGTTCATGCACTCAGGAATTACTCCTGGCGGTGCTCGGGGGACCCTATGGGATGCTGGGAATCGAACCTAGGTCTTCTGCAAGGCAAACGCCCTACCCGCTGTGCTATTGCTCCAGCCCCGAGTAGAAGATTTTAAAGGGGTTAGAGGGTTGGCAAGATGTGCGGTGCTGTAAGGTTAAACCAGCCTCACACACGCCAAGTGCTCTTGTCCATAAGATTCTGTACTCAAAACAGGGACTAATTTCCTAATTCACCTTTCCCAACTTAGTTCAGTCACAAAATCTGCATTTTAGCCAAGGGGATGACCCATTATAATTTGCATTTCTTGGACAGTACTTGTGTGGGCCAGAGATGGCGTAAGTTCAGGATTTGCTTTGCACGTGGGATACCCTGATCTGGGTTTTGGGCCACTTCCAGCAGTAATCAGGGATCACCCCGGAGGGACAAGGGGGAGACCAACGGAGTCTGGAGACCGAACCTGGGTCAGCTGTGTGCAAGGCGAAGACACAGCTTGAACAACACTACTCCCTCCCGTCCAAGGCCCAGGTTTGATCCCTGTATCTTGTCCGAAGTACCACTAGGAGTGACTTGAGAAGTCAGGAAGTAGTCCGTGCCCCTGAGCACTGCTCAATGTAGCCAAAAAGAACACCCCCCCCAACCCCATCGAAAGGAGTTATTTGTACTTTTCACTTTTATAAATATTCTTACTCGGAAACCAACTAATTTAGTATTGATTTGTATGACACATTGGCTATATCATACATTGGCTGGAGTGATAGCACAGCAGGTAGGGCGTTTGCCTTGAACGCGGCCTACTCGGGTTCGATTCCTCTGCCCCTCTTGGAGAGCCCGGCAAGCTACCGAGAGTATCCTGCCTGCACGGCAGAGCCTGTCAAGCTCCTCGTGGCGTATTCGATATGCCAAGAACAGTAACAAGTCTCACAATGGAGACATTACTGGTGCCCGCTTGAGGACAGTGCTACAGCGCTATGTATGCTACACTGGCGATCACTGATAATGGAAATAACCAATACCCTAGTCACTCTGATGGCATCATAAAAAGGAGCATAAAATAATCGTTTATGGCCAACTATGGGATAGGAGTAAAAACTGGAAAAAAATACCACAGTGAGTTATTTAAAAAATCTTTTGATGGTGGGACTGGAGCAGTACAGCACAGTACGACAGCTAGGGAATTTGCCTTGCTTGTGGCTAACCCAATGATCCTTGTGCATCCCATATGGTCCTCTGAGAACTGCCAGAAATAAACCCTAAAAAATCATCAGGTGTACCCCATCCAAAACCCCCAAATCCTGTTGATGGGGCTTAAGAGATGGCTCAGAATCTGGAGTACAGGCCTTCTGTGTGTATGTGGCTCAGGGGTTACTCCTGGCTCTGCATCAGGAATCACTTCTGGCAGTACTCAGGGGACCATATGGGATGCTGGGAATTGAACCCGGGTCCGCCGCGTGCAAGGCAAACGCCCTACCCGCTATGCTATCACTCCAGCCCCGAACTGTTAATGTATCTTAAAAACTAAAAAGCAAGGGCCCGGGGTCAGAGTAGTGGGTAGCCTTTCATATGGTCAAACCCATGGATCCCCAGTATCCCATACAGTTGCCTGACCATCACGAGCAGTTCCTGAGTACTGAGTGAAGAGCAACCCCAGATCATCACCAGCCAAAAAGTCAAATAAAAAATATAGCACAAAACTAAGGCCTTGCATGCAGTCTAATTGTGGGCTTCAGTTCTGCATACCCGTAGTCCCTCAAACCCAGGCAGATACAATCCCTAAGCATAAACTAGTAAGGCTGACAAATCAATTCCTGCAGATGATCACTCACCATGAAATCAGAAATGAATAAAGCTTATACTCTGCACATGGGAGGCCTAGATTTAACTCTCATTACATTCCCTACCTGGGCTAGAGCCATAGCACAGCGGTAGGGTGTTTGCCTTGCATGCAGCCAACACGGTCAACCCGAGTTCGATTCCTCTGCCCCTCTTGGAGAGCCCAGCAAGCTATGGAGAGTATCTCGCAGAGCCTGGCAAGCTCCCCATGATGTATTCGATATGCCAAACACAGTAACAACAAAGGCTCCAATGGAGACGTTAGGGGGCACGCTCACGCTCATCAATGAGCAACAGGACAGTGACATTCCCTACCTAAGCTGTATCAGGACAGGAGCCACCACTAAGAGGGATCATGTCAGTTCTTTTGGGCCATACCTGGCAGTGCTCAGGCCATAGAGGGGTAGGGAGGCTGGAGATAGTCGAGTGGGTAAGGTGCTTGCCTTGCATTTGGCTGACCCAGATTTGATCCCTAGTAACCTCAATGGTTCCCTGAGCTCACCAGGGGTCATTCATGAGTGCAGAGCCAGGCGTTACCCCAGAGCACTGGCAGGTGTGGTCCAAAAAAACAAGTCACATGAAAAGCTGGGGGCGGGTTGCATTCAAGTGCCTTAAATAACCCCTGTACTATCTCTTGGGTTCCTTTAAAAGATCTTTTTAAAAAAAAGTGACTAGCAGTTAAAGCATGACTTGGAGGGCCCTTGCCTTGCATGCAGCTAATCCTGGTCCAATCTCTGAGCAGAGGCCAAGAGCAAGCCCTGAGCACAAGGTATGCCCTCTGCCCCTCAAGAATTTTGGAATGAGCCCTGTCCTCCCTATGACAGAGGCAGTGTACATAACAAGGTCTTGCCTAGAGAAAGGAGAACTGGGCTATTCTATACTGTGAAGTTAGAGAAAATGACTAGTAAGTAACCATCTTATTTATTTAGCATGAGGGAACCAGAGAAGAAAAACATTTAAACACTATCATCGGGGCTGGAGAGATAGCACAGTGGGTAAGGCGTTTGCCTTGCAGGTGGCCAACCAGGTTGATTCCCAGCACCCCATATGGTCCCCTGAGCACCGCCTGGAGTAATTCCAGAGTGCAGAGCCAGGAGTAACCCCTGAGCATCGCCGGGTGTGACCCAAAAAGCAATAAAACCCCCCAAAACAAACAAAACCCCACTATCATCACAGGATGTAGAACAATAAACAGCTTTATTACACGAGCAGAAGGCTTATTTGCCTTTTCGGGCCTTGATCTTCCTCAGATAGAACTCCAGCTCCTTGCCCTCTAGCACATAGCCATCTGCTCGGCCACACTGGCCTGGCCTTGAAGCGATGCATGCTGTAAGAGAACAGGCAGTCCTGAGCAAAGTGATGCACTTGTGTCATTGCAGACAACTTGCAGGCAAGCAGCGGCTGTCTCCTCAGATACACTTTATCATCACTTTCAAGTCAGTAGCAGAACTGGACAAAGTTTTCATCACTGAGACAGTCCCCTCGGCCTAGGGAAACTTCACGTTCATGAAAATTCAGGCCTACAAAGGCCTGCAAAGTATCTCCTCCATTAATAAATAGGTAACCCTAACCTTCCACTTCTCCCTCAGTCCTAGTGTTCAGGCCGGTGCTGGCCCTTAGGTTTAATGGAAGTACAGCTAGTTTAAGTGGTGGCCTTGCACATGGCTGAATATGGTCCAATTCACAGAAATCCCCACCTCTTTCGCTCACTGCCACAAGCAGTGCCAGGAGCAATTCCTTAGTATTGACTTTTGAGCCTTGCAGGCTGTGCTCTCCCATAAATAGATGCAGAGCCAGAAGGATGGTAAACAGGGTATGGCATCTGCTTTACACCAGCAGACCCAGGCTCAATCCCTGATGTAAAAGCCAGTCCGGGTGTGGCCCCGAAACAAAAAACAGACGGAGATAATAAAACAGGCAGTGATTGCCTTGCATGTAGCCAACCTAGGTTAGGCCCCTGAACAGGCAGAGCCAGAATTAACCCCCAAGCACCCAAGTTCAACTCCCCACCTCAAAAGGGGTGGTTGGGGGGGAAGGGAGGTGTGGTGGTATATTCAAGGAGCCAAAGACAGTTAAGTGATTGCATCAAGCACTTCCCTTCCAAGCAGCCAACACTGGCGAGATAGCGGAGCAGAGAAGGCCCCACAAAATTGATAGTTCAACAAGATGAGCACATGCAAAGATGGCAAGAGGCCCAATCTTATCGACTTATCACTGATGGGGTGCCCCCCCAACCACAACAGTTGAGCTCAATTCCTGCTGTTTTACTGGGTCCTAGTGTTGAATCTTAAGCTGGGCCAAATATCACTACCAGATACGGTCACCCCCCCACCACATGAGCAAGGGAGAACGCAACACTGTTAGCCCCTGCAGCCCTCTCACCAAGAAGCTTGCCCTGCTGGAACTGCTCCTCCAGGAGACTGCTGATTTTGGCGTTCTTTTTCCTCTCTTCGTATTTCTTCTGAATTTTCTTCGACCGCTTTTTGTTTAAAATTTCCTCCTCTTCGGGGGTCTGAATAAAGGGACAGATGGGTCAGATAAGGCCCCTCTACCCCAAAACCCGTTACCGGGAAGGAACAGTCAACTGCTGTCTTTACATGGGCCCAGCCCAGCCCAGCCTTCCTCAGATCTATGGGCTTCATCACTTCCACTTCAGTAGCAGAACTGGACAGAGTTATCATCACAAGAAGGCCGCCAGCCTGGCCCCCCGCACCCTAGGGGAGCTGGCTCCCCAAATACTCACCAACTTGGCTCCCTTCTTGCGACCAAGGGGCAGCGCATAGTGGGACTCATACCACTGCCGGTACGGCGTGCTATCAATCAGCACGATGCAGTTCTTCACCAGGGTCTTGGTGCGGACCAGCTCATTGTTGGATGCATTGTAGACAACATCAATGATCCTCGTTTTGCGAGTACAACCTGATCGCAGGAGAAATTCACTATCAAGCCCCAGGCTCACAGGTTGTGTGCTCCTACGATCTACCTCTCCCGAGCCTTAAAGCTCATCTCTCACGTAAACCGAATTCTCAGGAGAGGGACACCACTGCAGGCCACCCCCAGACTCAAGCCCAATCCCTTTCTGGGGAGAAGGGAGACCTCTGGGTTCCCAGCAACCTCAACAACGTCTCTCAACAAGGTGGTCTTGGCTGAGATCCTGGACTTCCTGTTAAAGGTCCTTTCCCAAACCTAGAACAACCCAGTTTAGTGCCTAGTGGTCCGCGACCTCCCCGCCATTCCTCCGCCAGGGTCCCACTCACACTCTGAGCCCCAGGAGAAGTTCCCCACGTCCAGCCTCAAGGCCCGGTACTTCTTGTTGCCTCCCCGAACTCGAACGGTGTGGATGCGGCGGGGGCCGATCTGCACAGCAAAGAAAGAGCAGCAGAACCAAGTAGGTCAATCGAGATGAGCACGGACAAGAGGGGCATGGGGGGGGGGGGGGGCAGGCCGGGCAGAGGCAACAGTCAGTGTAACTATGACAAGTCCTAGCACTGGCAAGTGGCAAAAAGGTGACCAAGACGGCCACGACCACGCCTAAGGTTGCGTTCTCATCACTCTTGTTGCCTTGCAAGGAAAAAAAAAAACAACCCAAGAGTCTGGTGCAAGAAGCCAGAGACAAGAAGCCCGAGCATCCGAGCCGAGTCTCTGCACGACCCCATTCATCCGACACGCACCAGGATGCCGCGCGCCGCCGCACACGGGCAGCAAAATGGGGACAGCGCCCGAGGGAGGGAGTGGACGTCCAGGGGTGGGGGCGGCAGGAGGCAGGGGACCCACCTTGGTGTTGGCAGCCGGGCGCCCCAGCTCATACTTCCGCTTCTTGTGGTAGGGCTTCCTCTTGCCCCCGGTTTTGCGGCGCTTGTGCCAGTTGTCCCGCGAGATGCCTGCGGGGAGGAATCGCGGGGCGGAAGTGAAGGACCCGGGGCAGCGCGGGGTGGGGGTGGGGGTGGGGGTGGGGGGGCGCCCGAGTCGGGGGGTCGCAGGCGCTGGCCCTCGCGGACCGCACGCTCAGCTCTCCAAGGTTAGCTCCCCCACGGCCAAGTCGGGGAGTCACAGCAGTTCCAAGGTGTCATCATGCACGTGCGGCCCGGCCCGCCCGCCCGCGCCCTCCCCGAGGCGGCCATGTTGGCACCGCGGCGCCCCGGGGCCCCCCGAGCGCCCTTGCGCGGCGGAGCTCGGCGGCCCGAGCCCGATGTCCACCCTGCCCACGCTAGCGGGGCGCCGGGAGGAGAGGCGCCCGCTTCCCGAACGCGGCTGCGGGGCAGGATGGCCGCGGATTGACCGCAACCGCCCCCCCTCGGCAGGGACCCAGAGGAGCGCGGCGCTCACCCATCGCGAGGCGCTGGCTGGAAAGAGGCCCGCAAAGGCTCACGGGCCGGTTTGTAACGGGCAGCCCCGCCCCCTGGCGTCACTTCCGGGCGCCGCGAGCGGAGGCCGGGAGCGCGGCGCGGCGCGCGTGACGTAGCAGCCTCCGCGCCGGCTCTCCGCCCGGCGGCGGGAAGGCGCCACTCGAGGGGCGGGGCGCCCGGCCCTTCTGCAGCTCCACGGCCTCCGTGGGTCGCTGGGTGCGTCTGCGTGGGTTTTTTTTTTTTTTTTTTGCTTTTTGGGTCACACCTGGCAATGCTCAAGGGGTTCCTCCTGGCTCTGCACTCAGGAATTAACCCTGGCAGTGCTCGGGGGCCCATATGGGATGCTGGGAATCGAACCTGGGTCGTGCACTCAGGTTCCTCCTGGCTCATGCACTCAGGAATCGCTCCTGGCGGTGCTCAAGGGACCCTATGGGATGCTGGGAATCGAACCCGGGTCGGCCGCGGTCAAGGCAAACGCCCTACCCGCTGTGCTATCGCTCCAGCCCCGTTTTTTTCTTTTTTTCGGGTCACACCCAGCGATGCACAGAGGCTCCTCCTGGCGGTGCTCGCGGGGGACCCTGTGGGATGCTGGGGATCGAACCCGGGTGACCCACGAGCGAGGCAGACGCCCTCCCCGCCCGCTGTGCGGTCTCGCTCCAGCCCCCTCGTCTGCGGTTTGAAAATCGTCGCTTCTGAAGTCGTTCCGAGGGCCCGAGGAATAGCACAGCCTTTAGAGCGTTTTCCCTGCTGGCAGCTGACCCGGGTTCGATCCCTATGATCCTCCTCCCGAGTCCCTCCAGGAGTGATCCCTGAGAGCCGCGGGTGTGGCAGGCGCGCGCGCGCGTGCAAACACACACACACACACACACACACACACTCACACACACATCAGAGGCCCTACAGTGTTCAAGAAAAGCTGTACTGGGGCTGGAGCGATAGAAGAGCGGGTGGGGCACTTGCCTTGCACACGGCTGACCCAGGTTCAATCCCCGGCATCCCATATGGTTCCCCCAAGCACCGCCAGGAGTAACTCATGAGTGCAGACCCAGGAGGAACCCCTGAGCATCGCTGGGTGTGACCCAAAAACCAAAAACAAAAGCAGAGATGTGATGTAGTGCTGTTGCGTTGAAGAAAGGTGAAAGGCAGTGAACCTGGGGTCTATTTAGAAGTTTGGAAGAGGATAGTGTTCGGACGGGGTTAAACCCCAAGGAAGAGGGAGGTCTGCCAGATATTCCTAAATCCCTTACTTGATCAATTGAACCGATATTTATACCTCCCTAATGCCGGCGCCCGCCATCAAACCCTAGGGTCTCACGTTTGCAAAGCGCTTCCCCTGAGAGTTCCAATTCGAATATTCTTTCCCTTGGGAAATGGTGTGCTCTTAGGGCAGTTAGGGCTGGAAGTATTCTAGACATTTTCATTGAGATCTTGATCATTCAAGTAGGTGGGAGTGGCACGCAGCTCTGTGTGTATGGGCCGCCATCCTGAATATAACATTATTTCAGAATTATTGGTCCAGGCAACAGTGCAGAGGTAGAATGTTTGCTCCCTGGTATCCTGTATGGTCCCCGGAGCTTTGCCAGGAGTAAACACTGAGCATCGCCAGGTGTGACCCCAAACAAAAATATAAAAGCTAGAGAATGGGCTAGTCCAGCAGGTAGTATGCTTGCCTTGGGGGCTGCCTTCCCAGGTTTGATTCCCAGCACCCCATATGGTCCTCCCAGTCTGTCAGGTATAAGCCCTGAACACTGCTGGGTGTGGCTGTCCCCCTAAGAAAGCCAGAGAGGGTGCAGGAGAGTATAGGGGTTATGCTTGCTCCAGCGATCCCCAAGACTAAACATGTACCCCCTTCTCCCACCCCAGCACCACGAGTGACCTGTAAGCACAGAGCCCAAAGTAGCCTCTCCCTGCAAGTAAATAACACATGGTGGGGTCCACCTTAAGGGCTAGAGCGGGGACTGGAGAGCTAGAACAATGAGTGGTGTGCTTGCCTTGCGCACGTCTGACCTGGGCTCAATTCTAATCCTCCTTATGATCCACTGAGCCTTGCCAGGTGTGATCCCTGAACGCACAGAGCCAGGGTTAAGCCGAGCACTGCTGGGTATAGTACTCCCTCCCCCTGCAAAAATGGGTCAGAGCAGTGCCTGGCATGTATGAGGCTTAAGTTCAATTTCTGACACTGCAGGGGAGAAGAGGTGGATTCAAATATGTCAGATTAAATTTCCGTCTGAGGAATGAGAAAGAATTGATGTGAAGCTTCTTTTTTGGAAAACCACGGGACGTTGAGAAGGCACCAGTTAGTGGAGAACGTCGACAAGCACGTTTCTTTTTGAGCGATGCTCAGGGCTTACCCATGGCTCTGCACTCAGGAATTATTCCTAACGGTGCTCAGAGGTTTGAGTCCAGGTTGGCTGTGTGAAAGGGAAGTGCCTTGCCCTCTGTACTATCTCTCTGGACCCTTCAGGAAAATTTTTGTTTTGGCCTTTTTTGGGTTTGCCCCTGCGCCTGGCTGTCCTCGCCAGGGCCCATTGGAGGGGGGCGAGTTCAGTTTCCCTCCCCACCCCGAGCAGAGCCCCGGCAGCCGAAGACCTCCAGAACCAGCCACCACCATGCTGAGACCACTCTCCACACGCATGAAGGTACCGGCAGAGGAACAAAGGCATGCGGGGCCCGGGGCTGAGATCTCCAAGCCTGCTCGGATCGGGGCTGAGCATCCTCCAAGTTCCAGTAACCAGGGGTCACATCCACCAACTGGCCCCCTGGAGCCGTGTAATCCCATCAACGGCCAAGACCCAGAGACTATAAAACCCAGCTCCCGGAAGCACACAGCCGCATTTGCGGCCGCGTGACATCTTATCTCATTCTTGCTTTGACAACCTGGCAGGCTACCGAGTGTAGCCTCCCCATGGCGTACCCAATATGCCAAATACCAGTAACAATGATGGGTCTCATTCTCCTAACCCTGAAAGAGCCTTGAATGTGGCACTTTTTTTTATAATCTCAGGGCTAGGACGAAGGAGACATTACTGGTGCCTGCTCGAGGCAATCGACGAACAATAGGATGATCGTGATCGGCCTTTTGGATCACAGCTGGTGATGCTCAGGGGGTTACTCCTGGCTCTGCACTCAGGAATCACTCCTGACGGTGCTCACTGTACTATCACTCTCCTTTCCTCCCCTACACCCCTCCCCGGGAAAATCTTGGTGATGAATGATGTGCTTGATGCCATGAACCTACTGGAGAAGACAAACTTAATTGTACTCTAGAAGCCACCGTAAAGCATATTACGTGCAGTTGGGAAATTAGATAGGGTGAGTCTGAGATAGCTACTTGAGGGGGACAGACATGGGTCCACAGAACTGAGAGCCATTTCCTTTCTTCCCTTCCAGTTTCCTTGACCAATACTTGTATTATCTTTCTGGCCAGAGCTAATAATTTTTTTTTTTATCATTTTATTTTTTTAATGCTTAAAAATTGAATCAGGGGCTGGAGCGATAGCACAGCGGGTAGGGCGCTTGCCTTGCACGCAGCCAACACGGCCAACACAGGTTCGATTCCCAGCATCCCATATGGTCCCCCGAGCACCGTCAGGAGTGATTCCTGAGTGCATGAGCCAGGAGGAACCCCTGAGCATCGCCGGGTGGGACCCAAAAAGAAAAAAAAATAAAAATAAAAAAAATAAAAATGGAATCACAGTGATACAGAGTTACATGGGTATATGGGTTTGTCATATAATTTTTCAACACCTGTCCCTTCACCAGTGTACATTCCCACCACCAATCTCTGAAAAGGGGTTTGGGCTTTGGGTAGTGTACCAGCGAAGAAAGAGCAACGTTCATTTATGTGTGTGACCCTAAATCACCACTTCTGGGCCTGGAGTGATAGTACAGAAGGTGAGGCCCTTGCCTTGCAGACGGCAGCTTCGAACCAACCTGGGACTGACGCCCCAGCACCACTGGCAGCCGCTGCCTCCAGAGCCTGGACCAGTCCTTGAGCCCTGTGCTTTCTCCACCTCTTGAAATGCTTGTCAGTGATTCCCACCAAATCTTAAACACGCCTGAAACAGATTTTTTGGGTGCCGTATCTGGCAGTACTTATTCCTGCTCAGGGTCACTTCTGGTGATGCATACGGGGTACCAGGGATGGAACCTGGGTTGGTAGCCTGCAAGGCAAGTGCCTTAACCACTGTGCGATGGCTCTGTTCTCCAGAGGTGGAACAGATTCTGTGTGCTGAGTGCTGTCTTCCTTGGCCTTCCACTCCTGTTCCTTGCTGAGACTCAGCATCGGTGACGGCAGCATGTCAGGACGACAGGCAGGGACACAGCGTCCTAGGAGCAGTGCAGTGTCCTCAGACCAGAGTCCTTCCCATATACCACTCCACAGACTGTTTATTTTTTTATTGTAACACATAATGTACAGACACATAAAACCAGAGAGAAAACAGCAGGGATCTTCTCAGATCCCAAGAAACACAAAGAAGGGACAGGACTCAGAAACGTTTTTTAAATATAAGACTGTAGCTTCCAGGCCGAGTGTGGAAGGCGGAACAGAGCCCACGCTGCACTAGGGGCTTTTCCTCCGCCCACAGTACTGGGCCACGGAAGGATGCTGCCCCAGGGGGCACTTTGCAGATCGGGGGAGCACGCAGGGAAACTAAAAGCTCCATCCATCATCATCCTTGCTCCCGGAGGCACAATGGAGGGAAAGGAAAGGGTCCGATGCCACTTAGAGGCCCTCCCCAGCTGTCCTGGGCTCAGACCCCCCTACCCAAACGGCCCCTGACCCACCATGTACCCAAAGCTCGCTGGGGAGGGGAAGAGGCCGGCATGAAACCAAACATCTTTATTTGCAGCCGTCACTGGTGCCGTTTCTTGCAACTCATCTGTCTGCTGGCCTGCTCTTCCAGCTGCATGGCCAAGCGCAAGGCCTTCACGGTATCTGGAAGGAAGGGGCGGAAACGCCGGGGTAAGTGAGCTTCTCCAGGCCCCAGCACCCAGAGGCCCAGCCTCCCAGCAACACCCACCTTGCAGGGCCGAGAGGTGCTTGGTCTGCTGGACCATCGTTGACTCCGTTTTGTTCACTAAGGTCTCCAGGTCGTAGTCGGGCTGCTCAGTCATCTCGAAGAGCTCAATCCAGCTGGGGCCTTGCTGCAGCACAGGGAAGACCTGGTTCAGTAGTGATCAAACTAGGGGCTGAGGGGATGCTATAAAGGGCTGGAGCACTTGTCTTGCATGCACAGGTGCCTGGGCTCAATCTGTGGGACTCCAGAGCCCGCAGCCACTGGACTGGAGGTTCACAACCTGGCTGGGAATGTCCCCAATAAACAAAAAAAGCAAAACAAAGACCAGCCAAATTGGGCAGACTAGGGCCAAAGCGATGGAACAATGGGGAGGGCACCTAGGTTTGATCCTCGGCCCCCATATGGTCCCCTGAACCCCACCGGTAGTGACCCCTGAGTGCAGAGCCAGGAGTAAGCCTTATGCTGGGCATGGCCCCCAACCCAACACCAAGTGGGCAGGCCATTCCAAGGCCAAGGGCAGTGATATAGCTGTCCGTGCCATGTGCCCGTTTCTCCTGTCTACCCATTCCCGGCGCCCGCTGGCTCTCTCCCGAGGAGCATTCAGTCTGAATTCTTCCTTCTCCCCACCATCAGATGCCTGTGCCCAAAGTCAGAGATCTGAGCAATGACTTGATTATTATGCTTGTCCCTGATCTTCTCGTTCCCTGTCCAAAGATGTGGCGGCCATGCTCATAAGAGGCCTGCGGTGCCAACATCTCAGAATGTCTTTCTGCAACCTAACTGCCGTTTGCTCCTGTTTTTTGCTTTTAGTGAAGCAAGCTAACTTTTTTTTTCAAAGCTACAAAATTTATTTTGTGTTTGTTTTTGGACCACACCTGGCAATACTCAGGGATTATTCCTGGCGGGCTTGGGCAACCATAATGGAATGCTGGGGATCGAATCCTGGTTGGCTTTTAATTTTTAATCTACAAAAATTTTAATCTACAAAATTTACTTAGGTAGATGTGAGGGCAGAGAAAAAGAAATACTTGTCCCAAGAGAGAACATGAGGTTCTCCAAAGTGGAAAGAGCTGCAAAGACAAGAGACAAGCAAGAGAGATAGCTATTTCAGGGAGAACACGGGTTCGAAGGGCTAGCGTTTACTCCAATTTCCACCCAGATGTGCTAAGAGGTGATGCACTGTGACGGTGATGTGTCCACATGACCACTGCCCTCACAGTGACATCCATTCTGTGCTGCAAAACCCCTCGGCCTGAGGTCTGCTGCTAGCCACTGCTATCCACAAGTGCTATTCACTTGCTCATGTCTTTTCCCTTTTTTCCCTTTCCCTTTTGGGTCATACCCGGCAATGCTCAGGGGTCACTCCTGGCTCTGCACTCAGGAATTACTCCTGGTGGTGCTCAGGGAACCATATGGGATGCTGGGAATCAAACCTGGTTGACCGAGTGCTAACCCCTACCTGCTGTGCTATTGCTCCAGTCCCCTCATGTCTTTTCCTTTGGCCAGAGGGAAACTTCTCTTCCTGAAAGTACTGTCCCCTCAAACATTTGCTCCGCTGAGGAGGAAACATGCACCACCCCCCACCGTGTTAATGCCTTCACTGCTTGTCCCGCTTTGCCCTAAGCACTTCACGCCCAGCACAGATGTGCTCTCAGCCCTCCCCATGGCAGCAGAGGCACAAGGCACTGTAAGTGCTTTAAGAGCATCACACTAATCTGTGCATGCAGAAAGCCCTGCTGTGCCCATTTTAGGATGACAAAACTGAGGTCCAGTGAAGCAAAGTGATTTGTACCCATTATCAGCTCACAGGCAGAAAGAGCTCAACAGGCAGAGTGCATACTTTGCATGTGGGAAGCCTGGGTTTGATGCCTGGGACCAAATGGTCCCTTGAGCAAAGCTGGGAGTGACACCAGAGCCTGAAGTAGCCCCTGAGGACCAAGGGGTGTCCTTCTTTCCACCAGAACCATCGAGTTTAGGGTTGAATGCGTTAATTTGGGGCTAACTTTTTACACGTTCCTTGCCTAATATGGGAACTGGCATAAAGCACCTGGTAGATACACACTGAATAAGACACGGTCCCAGTGCAGAAATCACCCGTTAACCCGTCAGGAGCATGTGGCAGAGACTGAGGGAAAACGCGGGTGCCAGACTGGAGAGGAGGGTGGTGGGGACAGCTAGTGGAAGGCGGTGACAACTGCCTCTGCTGGACCCCTGCCAGGGCGGACAGCCAGGCCCCACCTGGATGATCTCCTTGAGCCCTTCCATGACCTTCTCCTCCAGCTCCCTGATCTGAGTCATGGCTTCATTAAAGCTGGACATCTGGGAAGACAGTTCCTCTTCTTCCTTGGAGAACTGAGGGGACCAAGAACAGAGACGACAGTGGACCCAGCCCCACCGTGGCCCTCATCCCTCCCCTCCCCCCCGCCCGGCTCCGCCCTGCCTCCTTACATTGCTGGTCATCAGGGTCCCAATCGAGCTAGTATCTGTCTCTTCTGTTTCCATCTGAGTTGTCTGTTCCCCACTGGTCCCAGTGTGGGGGCTCAGCTCCTTGACCCTGAGAAGTGAGGAGGTCTCAGATCCCACCCGAGATGGTACCACTCACGTCTCAGCCGAGCCCGAGGCCCTCACAGTCAAGGGGAAGGGGCTGGCCACAGGCCTTCCAGCAGCAGGTCCAAACCCCAGGCCCCAGAGCTGCCTCGTCTCATCACAGCGGATCCCCCTCTCCCTGCCCCGCGATGCTACTACCTGTCTGCGTATCTCAGCGTGTTTAAAGTATATTCACAGGAACTGATGCCCGGGGAGATCATGGTAATCTGCAAATGAGGGAACGGGTAGTTACAGGTGGATGGTCGTGACCAAGGACACAAGGTTGCGTGTTCCTGGGAGGCCACCAGGAGGAATCCCTTCCAGCTGTGGACACCTACAAGACACCTGCCCAGAAGTCTCGCTGGGCAGATTTCGCTCTGGGAGAGAAGTCCCTGCCCCTTTTAAGTCGCTTAAACTTTGGTCTAGAGTCACATCTGGGCCAGAGAAATAGGGATGAAGGCATTTGCCTTGCCTGTGACCAGCTCTGGCTTGTTCCAGGGCATGGGCACAGCAGATGGTCCCCTGGAACAGCCAGGAGTGACCCCTGAGCAGAGCCAGGAGTAGTCCCTGGGAACCACTGAATGTGGCTAAAAAAAAAAACCAAAACACCCAAGGAACAAGTAAAGGCATATTTGATGGCCTCTAGCTGCCTGTCTCCTTTAGGGAGGAGACCTCAGCAAGGCCACATTTCAAAGCTGGTGGTTTCTCTGTGGAAGCTGAAATTTAGCCAGGCTCGGGGATAGATGATTAGTAGAGAAAGTTTAAATAGTTAAGAGTGATCTCTCTCTCTCTCTCTCTCTCAGAGCCAGCGCAGCGGTGTTCAAAACCTATTTCTGCTTCTACGCTCGAGGCAAGGCAAGGGGGAGGGGGACTCTATGGGATGCCAGGAACTGAATGTGGGTTGGCCTTGGGCAAGGCAAGTGCCCGACCCACTGTACTGTAGCCCCTGACCCATAAGAGGGAATATCTGTCCAGACCGGGCAGGCAAGAGAGAACGCTCCCTGAGGGGAGGGGAGGATACTTTAGCTAGGGGAGGAAGTGGACCAGAAAGCCATCCCAGGACACAGTCCAGGCTGGGAACCAAAGGTCCCACGGGGTAGCGATGGAAGAGCCATGTAGCCCTACCCTAGCTCTCTCCACTCCAGTAAGGGAGGAAGGACCCAGCCCAGTAAGAGCTGCGCCACGCTAGTATCGGAGCCCCCCTTTGCCGGCTCTCTGGCGCGCTCCAGCCAGAGCCAGGGACTCACCATGCAGGTCCTCGAGTTCTCCCCGATGAAGGAGTCCCTCAGCACCTGCGTCAGCTTGCTCTCTCGGAACGGGGTATGCGCCTTGTTCTGTCCCAGGGCCCTGATGCACTCCTGTGGGCGGGCCAGAGGCGCCAGTGAGGTCCCTCCCTGCTCCCCCGCCGCACCCCAGGCATCCCGAGCGAGCCCTGCTACCTTCAGGGCCAGGAGACTCTTGTTGATTTCCGCACCCTCCATGCGAGTCTGCCGGTCAGCGCTGGACGTGTCTGCGCCTCGCTCGTTTCCTGCCAGATCCACCAGAGAAAACTTGCCAAACAGTCTCCCTTTGTTTCGAAGAAGAATCTGGAAGCAGGCGTGGGAGCGGGAAGAGTTGGAGTTGGCAAAGGTCTGCCCAGAGGTCCTATGGCAAAGGAGGGCAAAAAACCTGAGCTTCTGCAGCCACAAGGCACCTGAATCCAGAGCAGTTGTTTGTTTGCTTTTTGGGTCACACCCGGCGATGCTCAGGGGTGCCTCCTGGCTCTGCACTCAGGACTTACTCCTGGCGGCACTTGGGGGACCATATGGGACGCTGGGGATGGAGCCTGGGTCGGTGGCGTGCAAGGCGCCCGACCCTCTGTACTTTGCTCCAGCCCACAAAGCGGAGTTCGGATGCAGAAGGGACCCAGTGGACCTGCCCTAGGCCCACGAAGACTCTGCCGCAGGGCACCCAGGGAGGAAAGGCTGACAGGAGCCACCAGCGCCTGGAGGCCCCGCAGAGGGTGCGTGCTCCCTGGTCATCCAAAGCTGCCCATAGCCCACTGTCTCACATGTCCCAGGGCCCCAGTGGGAAGAGACGTCCCTGCCTGTCTCGGGGCACTAGGACTAGGTTACTGGCAGCCTGCAGCAGACCATACTCCTGTCTCCGAGGGAGGGGACAGCAAGAACGGCCCAGAAAGACCAGAACGTGCCCCTGGGGTAAGAGCTTGGGAACAGCTCGACACGGTGGATTAAATATTTCTTTGCAGGCGACACTTAGCAATGCCCGGGAACCCTGTGTTACCAGGGATCAAACCAGGGACACCAGCATGCAAAGTGCTCCCCGTTAAGACTGGAGATGCTGTCTTTTGGGGGGTGGAGGGCACACCTGGCACTGCTCAGGGCTTCTTCCCGGTTCTGTGCTCAGGGATTACGCCTGGTGGGACTCAGGGGACCAAATGAGGTGCTGGGGTTGAGCCCAGGTCAGCTGCGCGCAAGGCAAGGGCCTCATTCCTGTAATTATCACCCCTGTACTAACTATCACACTCGCCCCAAGACTGATGTCTGTTGCTGCGTCTGCCCAGCTGAGCCGGCTTCAGGCAGAGGCTCCCTACCCTCACGGCCGGGGCAGGCAGCCCTGGCCCTCCCTCAGCAGGACTCTGACCTGCAGGCGCTGCCCATGTCGATCTTCTTGATGACGTCGTCGGCGCTGTTCACCAGGTGCTCCTGCAGCCCCACCACCTGCACCTGCTGCTTGCCATCCTCCAGCACCCGCAGCTTGGCCTTCTTGTTGAGCAGGTCGAAGAGCTGTGGCGGGTGGGGACAAGGCCCGGGCCGTTAGCCGCCCCATCTCCCTCCTCTGATGCAGCGCCAGGAGCTGCTGAGCTGCTATTAGTGTCCAACAAGTCCCTTAGGACGAGGAGTCCACCTCGGTGTGCTGCCTCTGCTAATCGCCAGCAGTTGCATCTGCGCAAACGCAGGCAAACCCACCACCCAGAACAATGAGGCTCTTCAGTGCACTCGGCAGCTTCTTTCTGGGGTCAGGGAACGCTCAAAATGGCTTCCATACAAGCGAATGTGACCACCATCCCCTGGTGGAGGCAGGAAGGGAACATACGTGTACCACCAGGGAAGAGTGAAGGAGGTGGAAGGCCAGGGCACCCTCCAGACTCCACCTGCACGGGGCCCTCCGGAGCTCAGGGGCCGCCCCCTCAGGTGGAATATCCCTGTCACGGGGTTCTACTACATCCAGTCAACTGGGAGGGTATAGAGTGTCCCGGAGTCCCACAGCAGAGAGGGCTCCCGGCCAGTTACCTTCCCATTATAGATCTCGAAAAACGTCACATAGACTTCCAGGCCCAGGTTCCGGTAGCGGGGCTGATTCTTCAGCAGGAAGACGTCCTGGGCTGGGGTGGGGGGTGGGGGAGGGGAAGAGGTCGAGTTGTAAGGACGCTGACAGTGGTGTCACACCCCCCTGTGGCAGGGTACACTTACAGGCCATGGCGTAGATCCCTTTGGATGCGTTCTGGGCTTTCCCCATGAGATCTCCGCCCATTGTCTGCAAAGGGAAGGGACAGAGGCTGTGGCAAAGGGCCCGGGGCCTAGGCCAGAGCACGGCTGGATCATCACCCAGAGAGCCGCACCAAAGTTGGGAAACGGTGTGGACATGCACAACTCAAGCATCCGGGGCTGGGGTCTCTGCAAGGAGGGGGCTTTCTGCAGGAAACTCATTGTCTCTCTCCTCAAGGACCCACTATTGAACCTCCCATGAGGCCCGGATACGCACGTGTGTCTTGCCACTTCCCGTCTGGCCATACGCGAAGCAGGTTGCTTTTCCCCCTTCGAAGATTGTCTGTACCAGTGGTCTTGCTGTGAACCTAGGGGGAAGCACGGGGAGTGTCTGTCCCTCCTCTGAACCCCAGGCCCGTTCGCTGCACTCCCGGGGTGCTGTGTGAGCTCCCTGTGGGCGCTTACCCGCCTCGCCTGCTCACTGTCCCTTCACCGAGCCCCACCACAAGCCTGGAGTGTTCCCGGTCAGCTGGGGAGAGTGGGGCTGACCTGCCAGAACAGCTGATGGCCTGTGCTTCCCCAGAGCCACCAGACCCTCCCCAAGCCCTGGGACAATGTCACAAGCTGGACTCAGCTACTTAAAGGTCAGAGGAACCCAATCAATGAGGCCTCAGTTTTCTGGCTCGGTGAACCAGTTTCTCTTTTCATGGTTTTGTTTTCTTTTTGGGCCCTACCCAGTGATGCTCAGAGGTTACTCCTGGCTCTGTACTCTGGAATTACTCCTGGGGGACATACGGGTATGCTGCGTGCAAGGCAAATGCCCTTCATGCTGTGCTATCACTAGGCCCCTGTGAACCAGTTTCTAGCAGGTATGTAGAGAGTTGTCCATCCTTATTTGGGCCAACTATATGTCTGTAATAATCCTTAAAACACGTGTATTTCAATCTAAATCTGTGAGTCATATGACGACATCACAAACTACATCAGCCCTAAGGACTGCGGCTTGTCACCCGTGGCCTGAAGCGGAGCAGTCGGACAGACCTTCTGTGACACGAGTGTTCTGCACCTGTGCAAGAACGGACATCACACAGAGGGCTCTGAGAGCACCTGAAACGTGGCTAGTGTGACTCTGGAACGAATCTTTCCATTTTATTCAACTTTTCCTTTTGTTGGGGGAACGAGGGCTTGGGCTCTATGTACCTGGCAGTGTTCAGGGCTAACTCCTGGCTCTGCGCTGAGGGATCACTCCTGACAAGTGCTCAGGGAACAATATGCAGTGCCGGGGAGCAAATCCAGAATGGCTGTATACAAAGCGAGCGCCTTACCCGCTGAACTCTCTCTCTGGTCCCTGACCTTTTTGTTGTTGGTTGTTTGTTCTTGGGCCACAATCAGCTGTGCTCTGTGCTCAGGGATCACTCCAGCGGTGCTTGGGGGACCATAAGGGGTGCCAGGGATGGAACCACGATTGGCCATAAACCAAGCAAGTGCTACCCGCTGTACTAGCTCTCCGGCTGCCCCTGAACTGCACTTTCAGCAGTGGCCTGAGGCTAGTGGGCGCTGTCATCAGCAGGGTGCCACTCAGGTTGCCTGAGACCTGACTCTTGACCCACTCAAAAAAGGTTCTGCAGCCGACAAGGAGGCTCATGGGAGGCCAGGGATGTAGCTGAGTGGTGCACATGCACAAGCAAGGCCCTGGGTTCAATTCCCCGTACGCACGCACGCATGTGACGTGCTAGGCCCAAATGGGGTCTTCTTGGTTTTATAAGTCAGAGCCAGCTCTGTGATAATAGAGCCAAAGAAAACATGAGGAGGCCAAGAAGGGCTCCCTACTTCAGGTGTCTGCATGTCTGTGGGGAGTGTTACCACAATGTCTGCACTGAAAAGCAGAGGGCACAAGGAGGGGGCAGGGAGCAAAGGACTAACCTGTAGACAACTTCATTTGAAGTCGTTTCATCAAATACAAAGTCAAACCGGAACGCTTGATTCTCCAGATACTTTGTTAAGTCCACTTTTAACTTGGGTTCGTGCACCAGGACCAGACTCTTGCTAGGAATGGAAATCACATCGATCTCCTTCTTGGCCAGTTCTGCAGGAGAAAAGTACTTCAGGGTCTTTTCCAGACACAGGGGCCCTCAGTCAGCCCAGAGCCCTCTTCGGACCGAAAGAGGCTTACCTTGCTTATTTAGCGGCCGTTTCCTTACACAGACACATATTCTGTGCTCTTCAATCTTCAAGAGGACAGAAGAACCATCAGCAAAGGCTCAGGAAAGGAACCCGCCCAGGTCTTCCCTTCTAGTCCCATGTCTGGGGTAGTCAGCCTCACGCGAGGACTCCATACTCCAACAGAGCAGAGGGGCCCAAATTTACGAGGCCATTACCCCCCTCTTCAAAAATCCTCAGTGACGCCTGAAATACGCCTTCCTTAAGCGAGCAGAAAGTAGCCCTCCAAAATGTACCTGATCTATTACTGCCCTCCTAGATGGGTTCAGCACACCCGGGGGCAGGTGTGTGGTGGTGGTGGTGGGGGGAAGGTCCTGCAATTCAGGAAACACTGCTCAAAAACCTGGCTTCTTAAACTGGGGGCCATGACTCAAAGTGGGACGCGTAAATGAATGTAGGATCGTAAAAAAATCTGTATTAAGGATCCAGAGACATATAGCTCAATGGGATGAGCTCAGGCAAAGCATGCAGGAGACCATGTGTGGCACTACATGGTCCCCCCCAAACAATGCTGTGACTGGTCTACTGAGCAGAGCTGGGAGGAGCCTGAACACTACAGGCATGGCCTAAACACCTCCCACCGTAAAAAAGTATTCTGAGGCTGGGGACGTAGCCAAGCGGTAGAGCCTTTACCATGCACACACACATGAAATCTTGGTGTCCAGCACCACAAAAAGAAACTAAAAATGTGTACACACACACACACATTCTCTCTCTCTCTCTTTGCATACATATATGAGTATATGAGGTCTTGATCTCCAGCACCACAAAAAGAAACTAAGAAAAGATTCCCCTCAGGTGTGCACCCGAGGAGGAAGAAGAGGTAGAGGCAGAAGCCCAGGGGTTTACTTACAGGATCCGTCACAGTAAGTGGATGACACTTCAAAGTCGTCCGAAACTCTTTAATCATCCGGGCAAATTCCCAGTTTGGAAAGCTGCTGTCATACTCCTGCTCGGGAAAAAGAAAACAAAAGAAGTCACACTATATGTTCCTGGGTCTCCCAGGAACAGGTCTTCACAGGCAGACAGTTCTTCGGAGGTGACAACACCCCCCCATGCCATCTCGCTTCCTCTCACTCGGGCTTTGGGAAGAGAATCCAGGAAAAAAGTCCCAAAACAGATCAGCAGGGATGCCTACGCATGCCCCAAATCACTTGGGGAACTTTTGTAAGAACAAAAGGGGGATGGAGAGATAGGACAGCAGGGGAGTGTTTGGCTTGCAGGTGGCTGACTTGAGCTTCATTCCCGGAAATGCATATGGTCCCTGAGAGCAGGTCCAGGAGTAAGTCCCGAGCTAACTTCTGGATATGCCATCAGGACCCACACCTTCGCTGTGCAGGGGACCACATCGGGGGGGCCAGAGATCAAGCCCGGGTCAGGCACATGAAGGCAAAAACCCTGCCCACTGTACTATCTCGCCAGCCTCCTATGATTAAAATGCTTAGAGAATGCACACTGATACACTAAATTCTTCGTGTGAGAGACTCCCAAGTGATGACCAGGAGACCAGAGGACCACTCCTGGTGGTATTTGACCAACAGACCAGTCAGGACTCGAGGACTGTGGTACTGCTCAGGCTCTGAGAGGGTAGGGTCCACGAGGACCACAACTCTAATTCCTACGCTGTCTCTTCAGGCATAAAACTAGAATTCTTAATCCATCATTTAGATATATACAGATTTATATTTTTGAATCCTTTGAGGTCATTAAAAGATAGCACAGAGCTATCCGATTCTGAGTCAGCTATTTGCTAGTTGTGTGAAATTTGACTTATTTTCTTCTGTAAACAGGAATTTTTTCTTTTTTTCCTTTTTGGGTCACACCCAGCAATGCTCAGGGGTTACTCCTGGCTCTGCACTGAGGAATCACATCTGGCGGTGCTTGGGGGACTATATGGGATGCTGGGGGTCAAACCCGGGTCAGCTGCATGCAGGGCAAACGCCCTACCCGCTGTACTATCGCTCTGGCCCAAGGAATTTTCTTTTATTTCTTATAGTTACAAAATAGTATAATTTTGTGATATGACATATGTTTTGATATATAATCCGATTAGATTTTGGGTAAAGGTAAACAAAAGAACAGGGAGAGCACAGATTGCAGAGCACAGGCCTAGTGTATGTTCCATCCCTGCCCTGACATGGCCTCTGAGCTCCACTGGCCCAAGGATACATCACAGGGTAGACAATCACCCCGAGGGGCACTGGGCCCCACAACTACTGCTGGTGGCTTCCACAGAAAAAAGAGGAAAAAGTAGTCTGTAATTAGTAGTAAAAGATATTGTAGTATGTTTGCCAAAAACTATGGTTCTTTTTGTGTGTATTCAGTAACAAGACATTCATTTCTATGCCCTGAAAATATTTATATTTCTGTGAGTCAAATTTTACACTTAACTATAATGAAGAAATTTCTCGTTTTTCATCTAAACCTTATAAGCCTAATATTTTCATCTAAACCTAATTTCTGTGGGTTTTTTCTCTTAGATTTTTCTTTTTCATGATTTCCATTTCAAATATTGAAAGTAGTCAATTCAATTTTAATAAAAAGTAGAGTAAATGAGAGAGAAAAAAAAGGAGTAAGCCCTGAACACTGACAGGTATGGCCCACATACAAAAAAATAAAACAACCCCCAAAATCCAAGAGTCCCTTCATAGGAGATCAGATGGACCGGAAGACCCTGAACAAGTAACCCAACTACGGGGCAACTGCTCCAAACTGGAACTCCACTGTAGCACCCCCACCCTCCCCAAACACACACACACACACACACACACACACACACACACACACACACAGAGAGTCCAGGGAACAGGGAAGGCAGACAACTGTATCCTGCAGCCTGGCTGAGACTTGGCACTCTTAGGGCACATCCACAGCACAGTCAGCATGAAAAACTCCTAATTTAAGGGTCTTCAGAAATAGACCTGAATTATTTGTTCTCTGAATCCTGATGCCCAGCTAAACCTCCTGGGCATCAAGTGAAATTTCAGAAATAAAGTAGCCAAATAGATCTCTGGTGTTGGTGAGGTCAGTTAAAGGACACGTAGTCAAAAGTCCTTCCCTGGGTTGAAGTCATGGTAGAATGGGGAGTGGGGGAAGAAGTAGAAGGGAGACCGCTTGTCTTGCATGCAGCTGACCTGGGTTCGATTCCCTGGCATCCTATGTGCTCCCCCATGCACCACCAGGAGTAATTCCTCAGGGATAATCCCTGAGCATCACTAGGTGTGGCCCCCACCCCCCAAAAAATCCTTCCCTGAACACTGAACACTCATCCACTATTGGTGGGCATACTGTGTGGTTCAGTTTCTATGGAAAATCATAAGTATTTCTTTAAAAAAAAGAAAGGGACTGGAGAGATAGCACAGCGGGTACGGCGTTTGCCTTGCACGTGGTCGACCTGGGTTCGATTTCCAGCATCCCATATGATCCCCTGAGCACCGCCAGGAGTAACTCCCGAGTGCAGAGCCAGGAGTAACCCCTGTGCATCGCCAGGTGTGACCCAAAAAGCAAAAAAAAAGAAAAAGAAAAAGAAAAAATATTTCATATGACTCAGCAATTCTACTTCTTGGCACCTGCACTCAAGATACAAAATTATTTATTTGAAGAGATATATGTACATCTATGTTCAGTGTAAATCTTAGTACAACAGCCAGGAGACTGAAACAACCCAAATGCCCATCCAAGATAGACAAATGGACAGTGAAGCTGTGGTCTACATAGGCAATGAAATAAGAAAAGGTTAAACAGGGGGTTCGGGGGGGGGCCAGAACAATAAGCAGCAGCGAGCAGTGTGCTTGCTTTGCATGTGGCTGACCCAGGTTGGATCACCAGCATCCCCCGAGCACCATCAGGTATGACCCCTGAGCACCGAGCTAGGAGTTAAGTCCTGAGCACTGCTGGGTGTGCCCCCAAACAAAAACAATTTAAGATGAAATCCTGCAGTTTACTGCAAATTGGATGAAACTAGAGAGCATTATGTTAAATAAGCCAGAGCAAATACCAGATGATCTCACTGATCTGTGGTATAACATAAACAAAACAAGGGAATGAACAGTTACCGCATGATAACAAGCCCTTGGCTCTGGATTACAGATAAGAGAATATCAAGCAAGGAGGAAATGGTGAGGTGGACTGGAAGTAACCATCAGAACTGTGGAGGGGGGCTGGAGCGATAGCACAGCAGGTATGGCGTTTGCCTTGCACGCGGCCGACCCGGGTTCGATTCCCAGCAGCCCATATGGTCCCCTGAGCACCACCAGGAGTAATTCCTGAGTGCAGAGCCAGAAGTGAACCCTGTGTATCGCTGGGTGTGACCCAAAAAGCAAAAAAAAAAAAAAGAACTGTGGAGGGTTTGGGCATTCCAATGGTGGTGGCAACTCCATCAAAAATAGCGTTAACATGGTCGTAAACATGTGACCTAAACTATAATTCTAAAGAAAGCAAAGTATAAATATGAATATATATATTTACATTTTGAAAAGATTTTCATGTCATTTTCAGTTGCTGGAGTGATAGCATAGCAGGTAGGGCGTTTGCCTTGCATGCGGCCAACCCGGGTTCGATTCCTCCGCCCCTCTCGGAGAGCCCGGCAAGCTACTTAGAGAGTATTCCGCCCGCACGGCAGAGCCTGGCAATCTCCCCGTGGTGTATTTGATATGCCAAAAATAGTAACAAGTCTCACAATGGAGACATTACTGGTGCCTGCTCGAGCAAATCGATGAGCAACGGGAGGACAGCACTACAGTGGATTTCAATGAAAACAAAATGAGACCCTTGCCCGGGAGGCTGGAGAGAGAGCACAGTGGGGAAGGTACTTGCCTTGCACATGGCTGACCCGGGTTCATCTCTGGTGCCCCCTTATAGGTTCCCAATCCCTGTCAGGTGTGATCCCTGAGCACTGAGCAAGGAGTGAGGTCTGAACACTGCCAGGTGTGGCCCTCGAACAAAACTAGACAACCTTGCCCTCACTCCCAGAAAGGTACCTGAGCACGCTTTATTCTCATTTCGGAGTGGTGGGCTTTCTTCTCTTCTCTCTTGTTCTTCATTCTTTCGACTTCCTTCACAACACAGGATTTCCTTCGAACTATGGAGAAAAAAGGAATTGCACTTCTTTTGTTGTTGCAGTGCCAGGAATCAAACCCAGGGTCTTGCAGCTGCGAGGTGTGTGCTCCACCACTGAGCCACCTGTCCCGCCCCGCCTACACGCTCACCTGTCTAGGGCAGCTTGCTCTCCGCTGGCTGCTTTACAGAGATAGGGACTTTGCCACGACTACGCCTTCTCTAGACCCTTGCTCTTAAGTCACCATATGCAACAGAGGAAGCAATAGCTGGAACCTGACCTGGCCAAGTCCACAAAGAAAAAACTCACTAGCGGAAGCACCGCAGGTCTACACCAAGCACGCTTTTTCTTTCTGTGCCTTGTTTTTGTTTTTATTTCTGGGCCACACTCAGTGACACTCAGTTTACTCCTGGCTCTGAACTCAGAAATTACTTCTGGCGGTGCGCAGGGGACCACATGGGATTGAACCCAGGTTGATCATGTGCCAGGCAAAAAGCCTACCTGTTGCCCTATTGGTCTGGCCCCATCTCTCTCTGTGCCTTCAGTGGCATTTTCTCAACAACCAGAAGGGGTGAGACCAACCTTACTTGACCGTAAGTCATTCCACGCTACTCTTCAGACCTTGGGTGCGACAACAGAGGTTGCGTCGAGAGAGCTTCTGCCAGCTTTCAGAGAAGGGTCACCTCTTAGGAAAGACTGATTCTATGGCCTTAGGGAAACTGGCCCAGGTGATACACATGGTAACTCAGACCTGGGACAGGAAGTAACTGCCCCACCTGCACTCACAGCAGACAGAAGGCAGTTCAGCGTGTCTACCTGAGCTCGCGGGGTTTGCCGCAGAGGAAATTCTGGGATGGCCTTGCTCTTCCGCGTCCTCGCTGACCATCGCCAATGGAATTTCAGCCACTGCAGAACAGGAGGGCCTAGGGTGGCCAGCTGTGAGGGAACAAGAGTCGCTGGAGGCGCAGGGATAGTACAGTGGGGAGGGTGCTTGCCTTATTTGTGGCTGACTAGGGTTCGATCCTTGGCATCCCATACGGTCCCCTGAGCACCGCCAGAGGCAGTTCCTGAGTGCAGAGCCAGGAGTCACCCAAGCATTGTTGGGTGTGCCCTCTATCTCCCCCACCCCTGCAAAATAAAAATATCACTGGAGAAGCAGGCAGGATGATCACAGCTGTGCTCAGCCTAGCCATGGGCCAGGAGGAGGGGCTGACGACCATCTCGAGGGTTCCAGCTCCCACTCACTGAGCAGACTAGGGGCTTTTCCTTTTATCTCAGTCCATACCGCGAAATGACTGTCTGTAGGTTCATGGGAATTTTTTTTTTTTTGGGCAATGCCAGATACTAAATCCAGGTCTCATGTATGCAAGTAAGTGCTTTGCCATTGAAATACATCCTTGATCCTGTCCAAAAACTTTAAAGGTCTATCTGAAGCTTTGGAATGAGAACAAAAACTGAAAAGGCAGAAATAATGGGGCCCCGAGAATAACTAACCAGAGTGGTTTAACCCGGAAAGGCACAATTCATGATGACACACTACTTCCCGTATCTGGTTGTTTCTTTTCATTCAGAGCGGAATTTGATACATGTGACGACTGCATCTCACACTCTCTTTACATATCTAATAAAAGTTGACCATTTACTTCAAAATATGTTTTAAAATTCCACTTGTACTAAGTAAAAAAACTGAAAACGCATTGGAGAGCCTTGCATGCGGCTGACCCTGGCTTCGATGCCCAGCATCTCATATGGTTTTCCAAACACTCCCAGGAGTAATTCCTGAGTACTAGTAGTAAAGAGTATTACTGGCTACGGAACCCAAGATAAAAACAAAAAAAATCCCCCAACAAACAAAAAACCAGAAAAGCTCTCTCCTGTGAGGAAGAGTTCAAAGGGCCAAAGTTTTGTATTTGTGCCTGGGATCAATCCCCAGCCTGAACCATCAGGCCCTCAGCGCTAGACCAAGAATTGCTGGAAAGGCCCTGAAGTTCCCTAAGCATGTCGTGGAGGCCTAGCCCCCCAAACCCTGTAACTATTGTCAAAAAGTTGAAGCTAATTAGACTTAAAAGAGAGGAAAGGCTAATTTAAGGCATTAAAAACCAGGATTGTGGATGCCCCTGGGGTTGTCTTAGAAGGTGACTGGGGAGCTGGTAACGCTGTTTGACCCATTAGTTACGTGTGTTGTTTAAAGACTCTAGAGTCAATGATGGGTATGGTTTCTGCGTACTGCAGATGTACACATCCATATAACCTTTCAGGAGGGTTTGGTCAAATGAGATGCTGTCCAGATAAAAGAGAGTGCTGGGGAGTCTGAGCCAACACAACGGGGTGAGGTTGAGTGCATGCTGTGTGCAAGGGGCCCACGTTTGATCCCTGGAACTACATGGTCCCCTGAGAACTGCTGGGAGTGACCCCCAGGCACGCAGCTGGGAGTAGCCCTGAAACAAATGGGCCAGGGAGATGGAGATGGCTCAACAGACTGTGGAGGCCTGGATTTGATCCTTGGCACTGGGCATCACAGGGATCAAGCCTGGAGCACAGAGCTGGGAGTAGCCCACAAAAGTAGGGTTGGAGGAGCACCAAAAAACTCCCCAACAAACACAGAAGTGTCAATGTTAGGAGGGGGCAGGCGTGTAGAAATCCTGGGATCTCCTAGGACAGGGGGAGGCTTGTGCGAGCAGCTGCCCGCGGCAGGGAGGCCAACTCACAACTCACCGGAAGCAGCGAACTGTTTGCGGGAGTTCGTAGATGCAGGCAGCTCCACCTCCATATCATTTTCCTGAGAGGTCATTCGCACCTCTGCGAGAGTGGACAAGCGAGTGGAACGGCCACGGAGACCTGAGGAACCAAGGAAGCAGACAACCAGGGCAGCTTTCAGCAGGGCTGACAGGGTGTAGGAGGATGGAGGTGGCGGTGGGAATGACCCTCCACCTTTCAGTCAGGGCAAGATGGATCCCAGGGTCCCAACCACCAGGAAAGGGGCCTTTCTCCACTACTTCCACCAGAGCAAAGGGAACGTTCGAAAGGTCAGTATCAGGAACATCAAAACAAATTCCTAACATTCTGCAGATGAGAGCTCCCAAGGCCAAGGGTATATCCCTAAGCACATCAGTCTGCAGTAGATACCTACAGGGGGTAGGCGCTTGCCTTGGGCACAGCTGACACCCAAGTCCCACCAGGAGTGACACAGAGCCAGAGTAACCTTTGAGCATCAGTGTGTGGCCCAAAACAAAATCAAAACAAAAACCTGCAGCCAATCTGAAATCATTGGATAGAACCAATTCCTGAAATACAGCATCACTGGCCTTAATAACAATGACCATTAAACACTTTTTACCTACTTCAAAGCACCATTAGAAAGTAAGCATCAGGGCTGGAGAGATAATATAGTGGGTAGGGTGCTTGCCTTAAATACTGCTGACCCAGCTGTGATATTTGGCATCCCATGTGGTCCCCTGAACCAGGAGTTACCTGAGCATCACTGGTGCAGCCCAAAAACCAAACAAAAAGGAAAGTATTAGGGGGCTGGAGAGATAATATAGAGGGTTGGATACCTGGCACCACCAGGCATGGTTCCCTGAGTCCTACAGGAGTGACCCCTGAGCACAGAGTCAGGAGGAAGTCCTGAGAACTGCCAGGTGTGGTCCAAAAACCAAAACCAAAAAGAAAAAAAAAAGGAAAGAAAAGAAACTATCAGTACAAAAAAAGCAAAAATCAGTACCCCAACCTGATAGTACACATCAGGCTCAGAGAAATTAAACTACATGCCCAAGACACTCAGCTAGTAAGTTGCAAACCCAGATGTGAATGCAAGAATGTCAGGTTCCAAAGTCTGGGCTTCATTTCACAGCTCTACAATGGCCAGAAAGACAGGATGGGTCTAGTCATCAGAAACCCATGCGATCAGGAGCTGGTGAGATAGCATGGCAGTACCAGAAATAATCCCTGAGCATAAAGCCAGGAGTAAGCCCTGATCATCACCAGGTGTAGTCTAAATCACAACCCCCCACCCCAAAAGGGAAGCCCATAGGATCATTTCTTAAAGACTTTCAGGATCTTAGAATACTTAACAATTGAGAGACCACTGAACTCTTGTCAATTTCTACTCATCTCTAGTTCCCTCCCCTGTGAAGCACAATCTATCACTGAGTTATAAATTCAAATGTGTATATAAACATACATATACATATACGGCAAACTCCCCGTGGCGTATCCAATATGCCAAATACCAGTAACAATGATGGGTCTCATTCTCCTAACCCTGAAAGAGCCTTTAATTTGGCACTTTTTAGAATCTCAGGGCTAGGACGAAGGAGACGTTACTGGTGCCTGCTCAAGGCAATCAACGAACAACAGGATGATCGTGATACACACACACACACACACACACACACACACAGAAACATATACTTGTACAAAGTTTTAAGTTGCTAGTTTGGTTGTTTTTGGCCACACCCAGTGATGCTCAGGAATTACTCTTGGAGGTCTCAAGGGGAACATCTAGGAGGCCAGGGATTGAACCTGGGATGGCAGCATGCAAGACAAGCGCCCTACATGCTGTACCAAATTATAAGTCATATCAAAGAACTTGACTTTAAGTTGACCTTGCGACCACTCACTACTTTCGGACTAGCTGACAGCAGCACAGCAGTAGGGCATTTGCCTTACAAGCGGCCCACAAGGCCAACCCGAGTTTGATTCCTCGGCCCCTCTCGGAGAGCCCGGCAAGCTACCAAGAGTATCTCGCCTGCACGGCAGAGCCTGGCAAGCTCCCCGTGATGTATTCGATATGCCAGACACAGCAACAACAAGTCTCATGATGGAGACGTTACTGGGCCCGCTCGAGCAAATCGACGAACAACGGGAGGACCGTGACCATAACATCAAAGAACTAGAGCACATGGCTCATAATAGCACACATCAGTTTGTACTGAGTTTCTAAGCCTCAGTCTGGGCCCACGTGCTGGCTCCTGTAACCCTAACTTTCCTAATGTGTGTAAAGAAGGGTGAGTGAGCCGGAGCTTGTGCTCTGCAAGGAAGCTGGGTCCAAGCCCTGTACTCCGAGGTGTCCTTAACATGCCAGATAGAGCCCCAGATTGAATAAGAAATGTAAATAATTACAATTTTCCTATTTCCCCCAAAATCTGTAAATCTATTTCTACTGTGAATAGCATGACCTTTCTATTTGGTTTCTGGGCTGCAAGTGATGCTCGGAGCTTCCTCTTGGCTCTGTGCTGTTGTCAGCAGCTCAGACCTTTGAGGTACAGCTGACTGGACCCAGCTTGGCTGAGTGCAAGGCAAGGGACTTACCACCCACACATCCTCTCCGGTCGTTAGCATGTAACCTTTCTTTCTTTGTTGTTGATTTTGGGGCCACAGCCAACAGTGCTCAGAGTCTCCGCACTCTGCTCAGGATCACTCCTGGCGGGGCTCAGGGACCATATGGAGTGCTGGGGACTAAACCCAGGTAGGCCACATGAAAGGCAAGCACCTTACCTGCTGGACTACCTCTCCAGCTCCTGTGGAGATTTTTTTTCTGGGCTAGAGATGACTCTATTGATCGAGCTCATGCTCTGAGTGTGGCAGGCCTGGGTTCAGTCTCTGGGATCACATAGCTCCACGGGCACTGAGAGAAGAGACTCCTCCCCCCGCACAGAACTGGGAGTAGGCCCTGGTCATCTCTGGATGAGACCCGAAGAAACCACCACCACCAAAATAAACATTTTCCCCACATTAAAAAAAGTTATAGGAGCGCCTGTTCCCCCTGGTGGGTGGGGGTCCACCATCTTCCGGAGGCTGATGGCCAGCCAGGAAGGGGCCTACAGTGAGGAGACACGTGGGCCTCATGGGATGGGGCCCATCCCAATGAGACCCCAAGTCGCCGCCCACGAACGGGCCCTGTGGCTACTCAACAAGAGGCTTAAGCCATGAGCCCAGAGACTCAGACACAAATCTCGGAACCCAGCGGCTTTTGGCAGAAATACCTCCCCATTCAATTATTAAGATTTCAGAATTCCAAAATCATGCGGCCGTGTGACATCATATGCTATTCATAATCAGCAACAGAAAACACTGTCTAATGTTGCCTTTTCGGCAGATGTGTTGGGGTAAAATTTCAAATAATGATGGGTCTCATGTCCAAATACTGAATGTAATCAAAGTAGAGAGTAATGTGGAAATCATCTGCCATACAGGTAGGGGGAGGGTGTGAGATTGGGGGTATACTGGGGTTTTAGGTGGTGGAATATGTGCACTGGTGAAGGGACGGGTGTTTCATCATTATATGACTGAGACTTAAACCCAAAAGCTTTGTAACTGCTCTCACGGTGATTCAATAAATTTTTTTTAAAAAAAAAGGTCCTCCTGTTGTTCATCGATTTGCTCGAGCGGGCCCAGTAACATCTCCATTGGAGATTTTGTTGTCACTGTGTCTGGCATATCGAATACATCACGGGTGGCTTGCCAGGCTCTGCTGTGCGGGTGAGATACTCTTGGTAGCTTGCCGGGCTCTCCGAGAGGGGCGGAGGAATCGAACTCGGGTCGGCCATGTTGGCTGCGTGCAAGGCAAACGCCCTACCACTGTGCTATCACTCCAGCCCAATAAATAAATTTATAAAAAATTTACATAAAATATATATTATATAAAATATATACATTTTTATAAATTTATAAAAAAAATTCAATAAATAAATTTATAAAAAAAAATAAAGGGGCTGGAGCAATAGCACAGAGGGTAGGGCATTTGCCTTGCATGCGGTCAACCCAGGTTCGATTCCCAGCATCCCATATGGTCCCCTGAGCACCGCCAGGAGTAATTCCTGAGTGCAGAGCTAGGAGTAACCCTGGTGCATCGCTGGGTGTGACCCAAAAAGCAAAACAAACAAACAAATAAAAAGTTGTAGGGCCAGAGAAATAATATAAGAGTTTAGGCACTTGCCTTGAATGCAGCCAACTCCAGTTCGACCCCCAGCAAGACTTATGCTCCCCCAAACACTACCAGAAGTGATCCCTGAACAGTCAGGAGTAAGCTGGGTGTGACTCCCTCCTCCCCGAATAAAGAAGCTGTAGTAAAACCCCTTTAGTGAGGCTCCCGCCAACCTCGTCTCCCCTTATGATACAGGCACCACTCAGGCTCAGCAACTTCCATGTTGGGACCCCCAGGACCTCAAATTCATCTAAGTACTTCCTGGGCCCCTGAGGTAGTCAGATCATGCAGGGCAGTGGCGGTAGCGAGACTGGGCTCAACCTCCCAGGCTGCGATGTGCGGCTGCAAAGTACGCGAGATTTTGCGGGCAGTGGGTGCCTACAGCTAACCTCCACCAGAGAGTAGAAGGCTGCGTGTTGTGCTAACTTCATTATGCTATTTTCCTTCCCATTCCAGATCTCTGTAACCACTGGTCATACTTCTAAATGGCCTTGGCCTGGGTATCAGCTCTTCTTACAGCCCACTCACAGCCTCCCTCCTCCAAGAAAAGAAAACAGGACTAGCAGCTGATTACTGTTCCACGCTGTACAGGAACGCCTTCCAGGTCAGGCAGCAGATTTCTCAAGGTACCACATCTCTAGGCGGATGGTCTCCCAGGGCTGCAGGTTAGACAACTGTATTTTTTTGTTGTTGTTGGTCACACCCAGTGGTGCTCAGGGCTCACTCCTGGCAGGAATTACTTCTGGAGGTGCTCAGGGGGAACACAGGGATGTCGGAGATAGAACCTGGGTCTGCCATGTGTAAGGCAAGTGCCCTACCCACTGTACCACTGCTCAGCGCCCCTCCACCCCTTTTGAAGTGAGGGAAATAGTAGAGAAATTTACCTGGAGAGGGTTAGAGAGAGACCACAGTGGGTAAAGGCACTTGCCTTACACGTGGCAGACCCAGGTTCAACTGATCCAGGTTTGATCCCTGGCACCCCATATGGTCACAAGAACCCTGTCAAAAGCGATCTCTGAGAGGAAGGAAGGAAGGAAGGAAGGAAGGAAGGAGAGAGGGGGAAAGGGGAGGGAGGGAGGGAGGGAGGGAAGGGAAGGGAAGGGAAGGGAAGAAGGGAAGGAGGAAGGGAGGTGGGAAAGAAAGGCAGGAAGGCAGGAAGGCGGGAGGAAAGGAAAGGAAAGGAAAGGAAAGGAAAGGAAAGGAAAGGAAAGGAAAGGAAAGGAGGGAAGAAGGGAGGGAGGCAAGGAAGGAAGGAAGGAAGGAAGGAAGGAAGGAAGGAAGGAAGGAAGGAATCTATAGAAACACGAGGGGAGAGGGCTGAAGGATAGTATAGGGGATAGAACACTCGCCTTACACACAACAGAACCTGGCAGCACAATGGTCCCCTGAGCACAGCCGGGAATGATTCCTGTGCATAGAGCCAGGAATAAGCCATGAGTACCAACAAGTGTGACCCGCCCTCACCACACAGAAAAAAGGAGAGGAGAAAAAAAATACATGAGTGGAGAGAAGGATGGAGCGAGATATACGTGTTCAAGAGTGAATACCGGGGGACCAGAGCAACAGCACAGCAGGTAAGGCACTGGCCTTGCAGCCAACCTGAGTTCGATCCTGGAATCCCATATAGTTCCTGAGTCCTGCCAGGAGTGATCCCTGAGTGTAGACCCAGGAGTAAGACCTGAGCAGAGCTGGGTGTGCCAACACCAAAAACAACAACAACAAAACAAAAAACGAGAGAGAACACAGGCTTCTTCAAAGGGGAAAAAAGTCAAGAGCACACATCTAAGGCCGAGATACAGTCCAAAGTGCAGAACGTACCGTGGCAAATATTTTAAAGTACACAGTGTAGTAGTGTTGGTGGTAGGCCCTAACTTGCACATTACAGCTCCAGAACTTCTCTGGTTTTTTTTTTTTTTTTTGAGGTGAGTGGGGCACACCTGGCTGAGCTCCTGGCTCCGCACCCAGGGATCACTCCTGGTGAGGCTTGAGGAACCATGTGGGGTGCCAGGGAGTGGAAACCCAGCTGGACATGTGCAAGGCAAGCACGTTACCTACTCAACCATCTCTCTGGCCCCAAGAACTTTGGTATCTGGCATGACTGAAACTTCCTGTCTTTTGACCATCATCTCTGCTTCCTCTCTCACTAGTGGCTGAATATTTCGAGAAAAGAATTTAGAAGCTCGAGTAGGGCAGAAGACAGAGTCTACACCTTGGAGCCGTCTGTTAAACTGGAGCAATGGGCACTTCACTGCTGGGCGTGACTACTGGCACACACCCCATAGCTCTAGGACAGGAGATGTCAACTTACCTTCCCTTGGGGCAGGAATTCTGGAGTTGAATGATCGACGTTTTTGTTTCTGAAAAACAAAATAAACCGTGATATATTGTCCTCACAACTTCACAAGGGCCTACGCGGGGGTTCTGTTCCCTGCTGAAGTCCTCAGCGGTCTCAGAAAACCAACCAGGGCCATCAAGCCCAGGGGGTCCTTCGGGGCGCTGACTCAACAGCCAACGAGTCACATACCTGGACGGTTACATTTTCCTGCAAGGACAGATTGTCCTTTGGGTGCAAGGGAAGAATCTGCAAGAGTTCAGGATTTATGGCCGCCACATCGTCGAAATCAATCTGTAACGGATAAGCAGAAGTTTTCAGTGGAGGGACAGGACACAAGGATTAAGGTGCCTGCCGTGAACACAGCTGACCCCCGGCTTTTTTAAAGGTTTGTTTCGTTTTTGGTTCACATTTGGCGAAACTCAAGAGTTGCGTCTTGGCTTTGCACTGAGGAATTACTCCTGGTGGTGCTCTGAAGACCAGATGAGATGCTGGGGATTGAAACACGGTTGGTTGTGTGCAAGGCAAATGTCCTGCCCACTATACTATCACTTTGACTCCTGGTACCAATTTGATTCCTGGTACCATTAGATGTGATCCCTGGGCAGAGCGAGCCAGATGTAAACGCTGAGCATCACCAGATGTGGGGCCCTCCTCCCCACAAACATACACGATCACGCGCACGCGCGCACACACACACACACACACACACACACACAAAGTTGTAGTGGAGTAAAACTGCTCAACCCAAACAAGGAAGACGACTAAATTCAGATGTCACTAACTTTAAGTTTCAACGAATATAGACGGCCATAAACATGTACTGTCGCATCAGAGCAATAGTACAGCAGGTACGGTGCTTGCCTTGCATGCAGCTGGCTGGGGTTCAAGCCCTGCCGGCATCTCGTAAGGTCCCCCCCCCCAGCACCACAGGAGTGATTCCTGAATGCACAGGCAAGAGTAATCCCTGAGCATCGCTGGGTGTGCTCCCCCCCGACCAAAACATAAAGCCAAAACCTAAACAAGTACTGTCCCTCAGTGGAGGTTTACCATCGAGATGGCTACGTGCTTCTGGTTTCCAAGTCAATGGCAGATGGGACCGAGGAGGAGGAGGATAGCGGACAGGCAGCCCACTAAAGCTTTAGGCTGCTCCGCTCCCTGCTGTTCTGCTGGGCAGAGCCCGGGAGCCTCCTGCTCTTGACACAGAGGCGGAAACAAGTTCTAAGTGTCCAGTGAGAGTCAAAACTGGAGGGCCCTTCAGGATCTTACGGGCAGGGACGAGATCCCGAGAGCTGCTACCTAACCCTAAGTCTACCTACATTTTCTACCAGGCCCAGAAACTTCTTCCCCAGTCATAGATAGATTCCTGCTGACTTCCCTGCGCAGGTCTGCAATGAGGTCACAATTCTAGATTGACATCACTAGAGTCCTACAACGCTCTAGGAATAACTCAGATATAACTTCACAGCCGGCCCAAAAATGGTACCGCCGTACCCAGTTCATCCTTGATATTTCAAAGTGTGAAAGCACCAGGTCACACAACTAAGCCTACGCTCTGGGGCAGTGCTGGTGGGGACTACAGAGTGTTTGGGATGGAACCAGGCTCCCAGCGTGAAAAGCACAGCTCCAAGCTTGGGCAGGTATTACGTTTTCGATTCTTTTATTTCTCAAACATACTGGCATACTTACCCCATCGCAGTATGCTAAAGCAAGCCCTTTACAGGCCTCGATAAGCTCTGGAGAGTTTAGCAAGTGTGTCTTTCTTGTCCATAGGTTATGTTTTGGCCACCTCAGTATCCCTCACACCAAACACACAGGCTTTTTAGAACCAGCTGAAATGATTTGTCGAGTAAATTCTCACAACAGTAGTGAGAGTAGTGAGTATACTATCACCATCTTCATTTTAGTCTTTTTTCCTTTGGTTGGGGGGGGGGTAAGCCATAGGGGTGTGGGTGGAGCTCTTGGTTTAGTCCTGGCAGTGCTGAGGATTGAATCTATGTGGGCCACATGCAAGCCACGTACTGTCCAGGTCCTCCTCCTCAGTTCAGAAATGAGGAAAACTTCAAAGATGCCTGTAAACATAGGGCGTGGCAAAGCCCAACTAGGACCAAGTTGTTCACATTTCTCTCCTGGTGACCATCTTGCCAAACCACAATGCCTCTAAACCATCAATGTCTTAGTCCTTAGAAATCCGTCCAAGGTCCTCCACACCCTTTACAAAAAAAGATTTTTTCTTTCTTTTTGGGTCACACCTGGCAAAACCACAGGGGTGACTCCCGGCTCTGCACTCACTCAGGGCTTATTCCTGGCGGTGCTCGGGGGACCCTATGGGACGCTGGGAATCAAACCCCGGTGAGCCGCGTGCAAGGCAAACAGCTAATAGTACAAAAAGAATGCAGATGACCCAAGGTTCGACCCTTGGCACCCGAATGGTCCCCTGAGCACCGTCAGGTGTGATCCCAGAGCACAGAGCCCTAAGCATTATCTAATGCAGCTCAGGTGTAGAAAGGTATGGATCAAGAATAAAAGCTGAGCATTGCTGGGTGAGGCCCAAGAACAACAACGAAAAAATCTAATGAAGCACAGGTGTAAAAAGTATTGATTAAGTGTGGACCAGAAATAAATACAGGAGTCCGTCTCACAAAACTCACCTCTTTGCCTTTTGTGATATCTCCTTCTATCCACTCCACCGAAACACAGGACTTCTCCAGGTACACAGATCTTACACTGGCATTGTGAATGGCGCCTTGAGCAAGGAGAGATCAGAATTACTCATCTCTTTCATTTTTAGACTCCCGTAGAGACTCGGCTGTGGACTGACCTGAAGAAAACACAGCCGTCCTTCTCCCCTCTTCTAGGAGACAAAGAAACTCCTGGCAGTTTACCTGACGACATCCCGGCTAAGGAAGCAGGTCACAAGTTCTATCAGAGTTACTGGGGACGTATGAGAGGCCACTGGGGCGAGAGGGTATGCTTGGCCAGGGGAGTGACTCTAGTCCAGGAGCGTTTCTGAGTCTGGGGGCGCTCGATCTCTCTGGACCCTCCAGGCTATCTCAAGGGGGCCACAGTGAAAATCGCATCAGTTGGGGGGGTCACCGGAGTCAAAGGGGGCTAATCGTGGGCCGGAGTGATAGCACAGCGGGTAGGGCGTTTGCCTTGCACGCGGCCGACCTGGGTTCAATCCCTGGCATCCCATATGGTCCCCTGAGCACCGCCAGGGGTAATTCCTGAGTGCAGAGCTAGGAGTAACCCCTGAGCATCGCTGGGTGTGACCCAAAAAGAAAAAAAAAAAAAAAAAGAACAGCACTAAAAAAAAAAAAAGGGGGGGGGCTAATCGGTCGGGCTGGGGGCCACAGGAGGAAGGAGGAAGGGGGCCACGCTTGAGAAGGGGCTGCGAAATGCAGCTCGAGGCATCTAAGAACTGCCAGGAGAGGGGAAGCTGCTTCAGCAAAGAGAAAGGGAGAGGGGGCAAGAGCGAATAACACAGCGGGTCGGGCGTTTGCCTTGCAGGCCTTGCCGACCCGGGTTCGGTTCCCGGGGCATCCCATAGGGTCCACCCAAGCATTGCCAGGAGTAATTCCTGAGTGCAAAAGTGCAAAGCCAGGGCTGGAGCAATAGCACAGCGGGTAGGGCGTTTGCCTTGCATGTGGTCGATCTGGGTTCGATTCCCAGCATCCCATAGGGTCCCCTGAGCACCGCCAGGGGTGATTCCTGGGCGCAGAGCCAGGAGGAACCCCTGTGCATTGCCGGGTGTGACCCAAAAAGAAAACAAAACAAAAAAATCAAAAAGTGCAAAGCCAGGAGTGACCCCTGAGCATCGCTGGGTGTGACCCAAAAAGCAAAAAAAAAAGAAAAAAAGACAGTACGAAAAAGGGAGAACTGTAAGTTCCTGAACGGGTTGCAAGAATGTCAACGTGTGACAGGTGCAGGAGAGAACTCGAGAGCCGAGGAGGGGCCAGGCAGGAAGCCAGACCCCGAGGCCGGCAGGGTCGTTTCCCGGGCAGAGCCGAATCTCGCAGAGATCGAGGATGCGCAGGGACCCCGCCCCTCCCCGGAGGCCCGGGAGAGCCGCTGCCAGGGCCGAGACCCCGGCCAGTCAGCGGAGGCAGCGGGGGTCGTGGGGGACGGGGGAGGGGGGTCCCCGCGGCGTTTCCGGAAGCTGCTGCGGTTTGGGGAGCAGCAGGGAACGGTTAGGCTTTGCCTGGCCCACCGGCGCCCCCCGGGCCAAGGGACCCCCGCGCTCACCGTTACTGCGTTGGACCTTGATGGAGAGGCCAGGAAACAGACGAGTTTGAAGCAACGACGCCATCTAAAACGTGCGCGGGGGAGGACAGGACCGCGAACGGCCGAGAAGCGGCACCACTCCTCAACGCCGCGTAAACCGCCGCAGTTTAAACCCCGCGCGCCGGCGTCCCTGGAAACGTCATCACGCAGGCGCCGACCCGGCTTCCGCCCTCAGCACCGCCCCGCAGCGCCTTTCCGGAAGCGCTCCGAAGGCCTTCCGGCGTCCGGGACCGCCCACTCTCTGGCCACACCCCCCTCGAAGCTGCCTATTGGCCTAGGCGGCCCTGGCTTCCGCCCACAGCACCGCCCCGCAGCGCCTTTCCGGAAGCGCTCCGAAGGCCTTCCGGCGTCCGGGACCGCCCACTCTCTGGCCACACCCCCCTCGAAGCTGCCTATTGGCCTAGGCGGCGCTGGCTTCCGCCCACAGCGCCGCCCCGCAGAGCCTTTCCGGAAGCGCTCCGAAGGCCTTCCGGCGTCCGGGACCGCCCGCCCACTCTCTGGCCACGCCCCCAAAGCTGCCTATTGGTCTGGCCAACAACACAGGGCCGCCTATTGGTCTGGCCACACCCCCCCAGGACCGCCTCCTGCTCTGACCACACCCCCGGCGCTGTGCCTGCTGGGACATTGGCCTGTCGTGACACTTGACGTTGCGCGTCTTCTCCGACTTCCTGGGTCGCTAACGTGCTGTCCGAAAGCAGGGCCTCCGGATTCCTTGAACTCGAGTTTAGTGACCCCCAAAACGTTGGAAACGGGGCCAGAGGGGTCGTCCAGCGGGTCGGACGCTTGTTTGCTCGCGACTGTCCCGGGTTGGGTCCCCGACACCACATAGGGTCCCCTGGGGCCCCACCAGGAGTGATCCCTGAGCATCGCCGGGTGTGGACCTCAAACAAAAGAAATATTCAGGTTCAGGTCTCCTTTGCACGAGGGGGAGCTTGTTTTCCCCTTCGCGGGATTAGTATGAGGTTTCCAGGAGCGCCTGTGTTTGATACCCGCAAAGGGGCCGGCCGGGGCTCCAAGAACTGGAGCATCTGTTTCTCGTGCGGGAGGCGGGGGTTCAGTTCCCCAGAACCGCCGGGATTGACCTTAAGCACCTTCAGTTGTGGCCCCCCCAAAACAAACTAAAAATGTCACCGGGAAGAAGGGATACAGGACTGGGGTACTGCTGAACCTCGCTTGTTTTGTCTTTGAGCAAGAATAAGACAAAATGGTAGAGATCTATTCAAAAGAGAAGAAATAGCTCAGCTATGGATGAGGGTGGAGGGTGCTTTGAAAGAGTCAATTCTGGGTTTTGGGGTGAGAGCTTTTTTTTTGCTTTTTGGGTCACACCCGGCCATGCTCAGGGGTTAATCCTGGCACATGCACTCAGGAATCACTCCTGGCAGTGCTCGGGGGACCATATGGGATGCTGGGAATCGAACCTGTGTTGGCCACGTTGGCTGCGTGCAAGGCAAACGCCCTACCCGCTGTGCTATCGCTCAAGACCCCAGTGAGAGCTTGAGGATAATTAAGGGGAGAACTCTAGAAGACCGCAGTGTATGGCCCAACCCTTTTCCTGCAAAAAAAAAAAAATTAAGGGAGGAGTATGCATGAGGACTTGGTCCCCCCCTGTTGTACTATCTGTCACTCCAGCCCCTGGAAGAAATCTCTGAGGTGATATTTGTCCTAAGTCTAGAAAATAAGAACCAGTTAGTCAAAGTGGAGAAACAAAGTTGGAGGTCTTTTCAGGTTAAGATCTGAGGGGCTGGAGCATTAGTACAGCCGTTATAGCACTTGCTTTGCTCACGGCCAACCCATGTTCCAAACCCTGGACTTCATTTGGTCTCCTAAGCACCAGAAGTGATCCCTGTGCATAGAGCCAGCAGTAAACCCTGTGCTCCTCCAGGTTTGCCCCCCCCAAAGATACGTGAATAGGAGTCATTAGTATAGAGATTTAAGGCATCTGCATCACATATATTAGAACTCAGTTCAATTCCTGGTACTCTATCTGGTCCCTCAAGCATAACCAGGAGTGATTCCTGGGCACCCTGGTGTGTGTGTGTGTGTGTGTGTGTGTGTGTGTGTGTGTGTGTGTGTGCTGGGGGAGGAGAATGGTAGGTGAGGATAGTAGGTACAAAGGCCCTGAGTAAGGAAAGCATTTGGTTTTGTTTTGTAATATAAGATCCATGACCTACCCGTACATGGTGTTAACTGCAAACCACAAGACCCCCTGATTTCAGGGGAATGACTACCCCCGCCTTCCCTTGATGCAACCATTGATTGTAATTCTTTATCTTAGGATGTCCTTAATGTACTGTAGCTCCGATGTCATTTCTATACTTAATGCCAATAGCTGTCTCATGCTAGATAAGTCCCATGCTGTGTAGGTGCTCTGTGTAGGTGCTCTTGGAATCTTTAATCCCCAGCCAAGAACTTCAGGTGCTTTGCCCCGCTATTGTCCCGGGCCTGGCCCTCCAGGGAACTGCCCTCCCTGTTTTCTCTCCTAGTGTAGCTGGAGACACTAGGTAGGGAGAAAGAGGTGAGACTGTTTAGTATTTTGTAGCCTGTAATTATCATTGCGACTTTTGTTCTGATGAGAAGTTATTGAGGAATTTAATCAGGAGAGACAAAACCTGAGTTACATTTGATTCTGCTTGCTGCTGTGGTGGGCTGATTTGAGGGGCACGGGACTGGAAATGAGACCGTTTATTTTGCAAGTGATCGTGGTGGCCTACCCCGGGCCGTGACAGAGCTGTGTTGCTCATAGAACTGGTGCCTTGTGTTTGCGAAGTGCAGTGCATGGATTTTGCTGATGAGTGGGATGTGGGAAAGGAAAAAGAATGATCTTAGATGCTTCCCAGTTTCAGGCCAGCACAACTGGATCCATGACGGAACTTTCCCTTTAATAAAGGAGTAGAGTTTTGAGGGAAAAGTTAGTAGTTGAATATAATAAATAGGGACTAAGGGACAAATCAAGACTAGAGATGGAGATTTGACTTAGCAGTCATTTTATGTAGAATTATTTAATCATGGGCTGGAGTGATAGCACAGTGGGTAGGGGTTTGCCTTGCATGCGGCTGACCTGGCCGACCCGAGCTGATTCCTCCACCCTTCTCAGAGAGCCCGGCAAGCTACCGAGAGTATCTCGCCCACACGGCAAAGCCTGGCAAGCTACCCGTGACTTATTCGATATGCCAAACACAGTAACAACAAGTTGTGACGTTACTGGGCCCGCTCGAGCAAATCGATGAACAACGGGAGGATAGTGCCGTTTAATCATGGAATAGAATAAGGTCTCTTGGGGAGCTGGAGAGATAGTACAGTTGGTAGGGGGCTGTCTTGCATGTAGGTGACCACAGTTCGATCTCTGGCCCCCCATATGGTACCCTGAGCCCCACCAGGAGTGATCCCTAAGGGCAGAGGCAGAAGTAAGCCCTGTGAGACCCCCCAAGCCCCCCCCCGAAAAATAGAACGAGATACCTAGGAAAGAATTTAGATGCAGATAAGAACATCTATAGGGGCTAGAGTGGTAGTACCACAGGTAGGGTGCTTGCCTTGCACGCGATTGACCCAGGTTCAATCCTCAGGAGTAATTCCTGAGCATTGCTGGGTTTCCCCCAACACATACACAAAAAGAACATCTATAATTGAGCCATGGGGCATGTCAACATCTTGAATGCTGGAGGAGGAAGAGGAGGAGCATAGGAGAGGTGTCAGATTAGGGAAGAGGTTAAAAAAAAAATCAGAGAGTGGGAGCTAGGAAGAAGTGAAGGTAGGGCGAGAGAAATAGGTCAAAGGGCTAAGTGTATGCTTTGCATGCAGGAGGCTAGGGTTTGGTCCATCGATCCTGCTCATGCTTCCATGAGCACTGCCAGGTAAGGACCCCTCTCCCCACCAAAAAAAAAAAAAAAGTGAAGGGGATTATAACTCTGGAAAGTTGCAAAGAAATCAAGTGAGTGGGGCTGGAGTGATAACACAGCGGGTAGGGCATTTGCCTTGCACGCAGCCCGACCCTGGTTCGATCCCCAGCATCCCATATGGTCCCCTGAGCACGGCCAGGAGTAGTTCCTGAGTGCATGAGCCAGGAGTAACCCCTGAGCATCGCCGGGTGTGACCCAAAAAGCAAAAAAAAAAAAAAAAAATCAAGTGAGTGAGCATAGAGAAGTGTCCTTTAAAAAAATTTTTTTTGGTCCACCCACCAGGCGATGCTCAGGGCTTAGTTCTGGCTCTGAATTCAGGAATTACTTCTGGTGATACTCGGTGGACATATGAGATGTTGGGGGTCAAACCTGGGTTGGTTGTGTTCAGTGCAAGTGCCTTACCCTCTGTATTTTCTCTCCAGACCCAGAAGTACCCTTTCTGGACCCAAGAGAGCAGGAGTTAGGGTATTTGCCTTGCTGGTAGCAAACCTGGGTTCATCCCTAGCACCAGCGCAGAGTGAGAGTATCCCCTAAGCACTGCAAGGTGTAGGCCCAAACCCCAGACCTCCACTTCCCACCAAAGTATCCTTCGAATTTCCTTGCACCTGAATTGGTGACCTTGAGCAGCCCTGAAGTATTGAGCATTGGGCTGGACTAGAGAGAGAAGTGGGATTTTTTTTTAATGTGTCCATACCTAATAAAGGAGTAAAGATATACCAAGGAATGAGAAACACTGAGGCTCAGGACAGCAATTGCCGCTGGCAGAGATAGTGTTATGGTTGGAATAAAATGTAATTTAAGGGGCCAGAGTGATAGTTCTGCTTACCTTGCATACGACTGGCCCAGGTTTGATCCCCAAAACCCCATATGGTCCCTTGAGCCCTACCAGTTGTGATTCCTGGGTACAGAGTCAGAAGTAAGCCCTGAGCACTGGTGGCTGTGGAGAAGAAGAAAGAAGAATCTAATTTCCACAAACGTGCCACGGGTGAGGGCGGAGATCCAAGTCAACAGAAATACAAATAGATGATAGTGTGCGGAGGCAGAGGAGACGGTTTCCTCACCTTCAACTTGCATATTTTCTGGAATGTTTATTTGAAAAACGGTGTACGTAATAACTAGAGAAGAAAAGGAGTAATTACAAATTACATATAAGCAGAGACCTTGTTTC